TACCCCGCTTTCCCAATGGGAGGATACATGCAACAGCCCATGGCTGGCATGATGCCACAAATGTGGCCTGGCGCAATGCCGCAGGGTTGGCAGCCGCATATGCAGGGTGATCCCCGCGAGTTCGAAAATCCGAACTCGCCGCATACCCCTACCTGGGGTGACGATGACGAGCTGGCCGAGACAGTGCCTCCCCCCCCTGGGGACTGGAATGTCAGCAAGGGGAAGGGGCGGCACGGCGGTGGACGACATCGGTAATACCTGGAGTCTGTCCATGCGTTTTGCATGGCTGCGCCAACGCGCGCATGCTTTCATTCCGGAATTCACAAGATGGACTATGCTCCTTGTAGTATTTCTTTGTCTGGGCTATTCGCCATTTCAGACTTCAACTGCATGCGTAGCTGTGCGCTATTCGCGCAAGCTGCGATTGCCTGTCAGGTGTGCGTCGCCGCAGCAAGGCAGTCACTCTCGGCGGCGTCTATGGCCGCTGGTGATCTGCATCCACCTGCACCGCTGCTGCTGCTGGTGATGGTGCTCATCAAGGTGCCGAGGTGAGGATCACGGATGCCCAGCACCGCTGCCGGTGATGTCCTACTCGGACCTGGACCGCGGATCGCTGCTGGTGGTATCCACGGCGATTGTCCTCGAGTGATCGCGCGCCTAGACGGTGCTAATTTATAACCAAGGCTCATTGGTCTATGCACCATGTTTCAACCAACTGGCCAACGCGCCTAATCATATAATTAAAAATTAAATCCACTTGAATCAAATGGTTCAACGTGGTTGCAATGCAAATGATAATTCTTTGGCTTCATGCCGGCCATCCCGAAGTTGAATCTTTGTTCTTTTCCTTCTTTTGTTTCTCTTGGTTGATTTGGCTACCGGCGTGATCCGCTCCATACCCGTAATTCGGGGTGGTGGCGGGATCCGGGCTCCAAAGCGAGTCCGGGTATGGGGTCGCGAACCCTGGTAGTCTAATCGTCTTTGTTTCTTGTTTGTTGCTGTTCAACTTCAACATGGCCTATGCGCCTTTCCAAATTCACTCCTTCTCTTTGTACAGTCGAGGGGGGTGTTTTTGGGGGCATGTACTTTTATCATAGTGTATATCATTTCCTGCCAATGTCCAATGCGACATTTGGCTCAAGCTTTTGCACTCGGCAAACATTGCCTGCCATTTCGTCGGGAAAAGCTCGCGGCGCTCCACACGCCGGCTGCGTGGCATCGCGGCCGTCGTAACTGGGGCGGTGGTCTTTATCCCGGAGGTGGGTCGGGCTATTGTTTGGGGTGCGCTGCTATTGCTCGCTTTGCTCGCTTGGTGCTGCTTGCTGCTGGTTTGCTTGCCTGCTTTGCGCTGTGCTGCGCTTCTGCTTGGTTTCTTCTTGTTACAAACGAGGCACCCCTTTTGGTTCGTGTTAGTGCCGGCCGGGGGCAACTGCTTTGCCCTTGGGACCGGGGGGATAAGGTGGTCTCTTCTTGTTGGTGGGTTAGGGCCTGTTTTATCCATCCCGAAACTCTGTTTCAAACCCTTTCGCAACTGAGAAGCGCGCTCATGGACTCCCAAATCAGCAGGCAACATGGATGCAGAGTAGGATGGGCACCGAGTTTCCTAGAGAGTCAGATGCACGCACGGCGTCTGGTGTGCAACAAAGCTAACCTAAGCTGTGGTTGTCGTGTCAGGTTGGCAGTTTACCGAAGCCAAGCCCTGAACTGGCCGCCAACTAAACAAACCGGACACCCCAACCCTCGAACCCAACATTCAACCTCAAACCAAACCAAATGCCGACCGACAAATCCTGAACCAAGCCCTCGATTCCCTCAGGGTTGCAGGCTTCCTCTTGCACACCATGTAACGGAGTGCGGCTTGCGCTTTTCTGTAATTCTGCTTGGGTTTGAGTGTAAAGTGTAATGTGTGTTGAGTCAGTAGGGATGGCTTTAAGGTTGGGCATTGGTTTGTTTAAGATTGGCTTGTGCAATCGGACAGGGTTGCGTGAAATGGGGTTTTATTGCCACGCTCTGTGGTGCCAAGGTGGTTGGGTCAGTTTTGTGTCACCAAAACAGGGGGGGGTGTGGCAAACCTACAACCATTTACAAATGCTGGCATCCCAAACAACCATTTCCCATGAATAGACCACCTTGATGGAACATGACAAAGCAGTTTGGGAAACATCCATTTGGCTGTGGGTCAAAAAATAGGTACCCAAAATGGGTTGCCCTGGTAGATGGAAACATGGACTAACATCTGCGGTCTCCTGGTGGTTCAATTTTGACCCATGCCCATTTGTACATGCCAAACAACAATTTCCCATGAATAGACCAGTATTTCCCATCCCAAATATCCATTTGTATTCCCATGAATACACCTTCTTGATGGAACATGAACATTTTCATGCAGTTTGGGAAACAACCAATTGTAAATGGTTGTTTCAGGTTCCAGGCAGCCTGTCAGACACGCGACGATACCTTCTGCGCCACTTGGCAGGTGGAGCTGTCGCTTGGGGAGACGCTGGGCACAGGCCAGCTGGACATGCGCATGGAGGATGAGGCACCGGGGGATGGAAGGGGCTCGATGGTGGCTGGGTGGGCACCCCCAGGCATCCGGTCCCTTAGGTGGTTTTAGGTTTTTAGTTGGTTTAGTGGCTGGGTTCCAGTCAAGCCATGGGGTTCTTTAGGTGGTTTTTAGGTTTTTAGTTGGTTTTAGTGGCTGGGTTCCATTCAAGCCATGGGGTTCCTTAGGTGGTTTTAGGTTTTTAGTTGGTTTGGTGGTTGGGTATATCCATTTAAGCCACAAACAGATGCCAAGTTTGAGCAGGGGATCAGAAAACGGACAGCCCGGGTTGGTGGACAGAACTCCCCCAAGTCAAACACATGGCATGTGCATGCATGCGCATGGCGCCGTGCCAAAAGTTGAGTAAGAGCTTGGGAAGGGCACGCAACCGTCCATCTCACAAAGCATGGACCAGCCAACCAATATTTGGGCCCTTTGTCCCAAACCAACCAACATTTTTTTAGAAAGAGCCAACGAACCAACACCACTCCCTCAAAACAAAGAAGAACCGAAACCCACCCAACCGTTTTAGAGGAGACATCGACCCACGCCTTATGTTGAGACACCCCCGAAGCGCACAGCGCCCCCGCCTCGGACTGAAGCGACGCCACGCCACGCCCAGTCCGCCACGCCGGAGCTGCACTTCGCGGCGTAGGCGACGGAGCTCTGAAAAAGAAACGAAGGGCCGCGCTTGGGGCCAAGTTTGAAGTCTTCGCTTTCTTGGGGCGTCGCTTTCGTTTTGTTTTTTTGGATCGGGGGGGGTTGTCATGTTGTTCTTTTGTGGTTGTTTCTTTTTTCTTTTGGGAGTGTGTGTGTGTGTGTGTGTGTGTGTCATGTCTGTGCGATTGTTTCATTGTTTGGCTTGGGTTTGCCAGGTGCTTTGCATTGTATTCTGTGTGAGCCGTCGGGAACCAATCATCCATGTCCAAAAAGTTCACCAAGCATATTGTGTGTTGGATCAGCGCTTTAGGCCGGATGGGTTGGCACTGCCGACAGGAGCGACCAGGCTTTCCTTCGCTCCTGTGTCAGGGTCTGACTGGGGCACGCCATAGTGAGATTCAATGCCTAGAGAGAGGAGCTGGGGCATACCGCAGGAGGTCAACCTGATCATGCAGGTGCTTTTTACTTGTCACCGTGTTTTCAGCGAATGCGTTGGCCCTGGAGAGTTGAGGTTCGAAGTACTTCAGTTGAGGGCAGTTGGGACCAGCATCCATAACGAATTCGCCCCGGTTCCGCCCCATGGCCCGAAGCGAAGGGTGTTGGACTGGCCAATCCCTGTACAGCGGCTCGAAGAGTTCCGACCAGACACATCGCATGGGCCCGGCCTGGCCCCAAGCATTGGGCTGGGCCGTGGCACAGGAAAAATGCGGGCAGAGAGGTTTTGCGTTCCCATATAGCGGCCCGCCTTCCTGGATGGTGGCAACATATTTTAAAAGGGACACCAAGAGGACACCCCCCCAAGGCTATGGGTCTCCTGTTTTGACAACACCCAGGTGAGGTGTGCGCCTGTTTGGATATTTTGGCCCTCCACAATCATGCGCGCAAGGCGCGCTCCTTAGCCAGCGTGTTCCCGTTGCTCTGGCCACGCATGATCAATGCGGTTTTCACTGAGATTGGAGAAGATGGTAGGTGCGGTAGGCTTCGGTGCCTCACACCCTGCGCGTGCGAGTCGTGTGCGCGTGCGCGGATAAGCGTGGCCTGGCACCGCTTGGCGTGGCCTGCACGTGCCATGCCGTGCGATCGCGTGCGCGCGTGCGCACTCGTGCCTGTTTGGGCACAATTGCGCTTGTGTCAAGCATCATAGTTCATTGAACAAAGCATGGTGAATGTGGTGCTGGCTGGCTTTCTGGCATGATTTTTTCTCTGCTTGCGCTTGTCAAGTTGTTAGCAAAGCGGGCCGTCGCCTCTCAAAGATGCCAAACTGGGGACAGTTCAGTTGGTTTGCTTCGCTTTCCTTTTGTCGGGGCCTCTCTACAATTCTTCCGGGTTTTTGGGGTCCGACGCATGCCCTTGGGCTCCGATCATCCTTTGGGCCCAAGCCTGAAATGGCCGCCGCACAGCGAGATGGGCGAATGGACAGGAGTGATACCATGCATGTCTTTGTGCAGCTCCCTCCTGGTCTAGAAAGAGAGCAACTACAGTAATTGGCTTGTAGCTGTGTGTTCCACTTGCTTCAACAACCACCCCGACCCCAGAGCCACTCTGAAGTAAACCGATCATGCACTGAAACCTTCTTCCCTCAGTCTTCCGAAGCACCGAAGTGCAAGCCTGCTGCGGTTGATCAAGGGGCCCTAGACCGCGGTTCCGTGCGCATGCTCAACCTTGTGGCTGTTTCAGGCTATTTTTCGTTGCACCCCTTCCTGAACAAAATGGAACGCCTGTCTCTCCTGCCACTTTGCAGTACCTCGGCTGGCCGGTTGAACCCCTGTAAGTGGATTCGGGGCATCTCAGGGCCCCTGCCTTTTGCCCCCCCGCACGCCGCGCCGCCGGTTTTAAGCTCCAAAGAGCGCGCCCTGCCATGGCGGAGCGTGTGGCCACCGGCATGTGAGGGAGGGGAGAGGCGCTTCTTTTCTGGTTGGGGCTCCTTAAACGATACATTTTGCAACCAGGCTTGTTCCATTAAAATACAAGGGAAACCACCATTTACAAGGCAATGTTCAGGTGTATAATGTAAGGATCCCTGTTCTGGTTGGGGAAGATTCGTTCGAACTGCCGGACCCTTTCAACCTGAGCTTGTTTTTGGTGGGGTAAAACAGTGACATTGTCAGTCATTAGTCCAAATGACATGTGGCAAAGGTTGATCTCGTCAAAACAAACAAAATCGTGTCAAAGTTGTTACGTGTTGAAACCGGGGGTTGAAACCATGCCGAAGCCTCCTTGTCCATGCTAGGCCAAGGCCTGGAGCATCGATGATTTCAGGGTGGTGTCGGGTGTAAGATCAGTTCCAGCGGGTTGACCTTACATTTGGGCTGCACAGAAGACCCAGGTGCTTCAAGGGGATCCGGCGAGCAGGTTTTGGGATTATCCAAAGGACCAGCCCCCATCCGCTCCAACTCAGGGGATTGTGGGCAGATCACTTTCACCAGAGCTCCAGCATTCTTTGATGCAAGCCGCGACGTTCGTGTTGATGTTTTCTCCGGAGTTTTCAGCATGCTGCTTGTGCAGGGGGTCCTTTTCAACTCCAGCAACAAGCCGGTAATTATGGGGTTCTCCCTGAAAAGCCATCCAAGTCCCCCGAATCCCTCCCCCATCCCCCCCCCCCCCATCCCCCCGCTTTTTTCGGCCCATGGCAGGCGGGCTTCCGGCTCCAGGCGGAGGCCGCCAGGGTGGCGGGCGCCCCAAACCACCCGGGCGCTCGGGTCGCGTTCGGGTCGCGCTCGGGTCGCGGCCGGGTTGGTTGGGTGCGAAAAGCGGGGGGGGTGGACACCACCAAAGAAGATGTCGTCGTCAGATGCGAAGACGTTTTTTCTTTTCCATCCTGGAAAGTTTGGATTTGCGTTTGGATGCCAGTCATGGTAGCCTGTCCCCGCAGAGTATCAAAGAACTGCATGGCAAGCGCTTGACTCGAGCAACACCAAGAAAACACCGCCCATGCCAGAAGATCCTACGCCTGTTTCATGGTGTAACTCACCAGCCACATGGTGAAGCCGAGAGTCAAACAAATCCCACTTTTGGGGGTCCCTTTCCGCTGCGACCAATTCGCCTCAACCCATTTCTGGCGACGCTTTGCTCTTTCCAGACCTTCCGCACCTTCCCGAGGTCCCAGGCTCACCGAGCCGCGTGGCCCTGGTCACCGGGGCGTCCCGCGGCTACGGGCGCCTCGGCTTTTGCAAGGGCCAAAGGAGCAGCGGGACGGGTGGTGTGTCTCTTTAAACGTGGAAGGCTCCGAAATGGGCGTCAAAATCGATGGATCCTGATGGGTCCCAGCCAGGGCGGTGTTGGGCTTTTCCAACCCCAAGAAGGGTGCCCTGGAAAAGAAAATCTGGCTCTGTCTGACCACCTGCTGATGGCGCCTTGTTCATGGTGCCGGTCGTGAAACTGCGGGTCGCCTGGAGAAAGGTACCTACCATGCGGCAGACCCAAAGAGCAATGCTTAGCTACGATTCGCAGCAAGCGGCCCGCTGTCAATTGGCCGGGTGAAAGGCGAGACAGCAGCAAGCGGTCTTTCTGGCAGTCCCAAGTTGTATGGCTATGTGGCAAAAGCAGAGGCCTTTTCGATGTTTGATTTGCCGTTGGTTGCGTTCGTGTCCTATCCAGGCTTGCCTTTTGACACCTTTGGAGAGTTGGGTGGCCAACAGCGAGCGACTCCTGTTAAAAAGGTAGAAACCAGTTCATAGGTCCAGGGGCAACAGGGCAACAAGCGCGGAAACCAAGTAAGCCCCAGCAGCGCCCTTTGTCGCCGTTGGGGGAAAACAGCCTCCAAGAGCGGGAGTCCTGATCCAATCCTAGGGATGCCTCTTTCATCTGCACGGGGAAGCAACTCATGGAATTCAGCGGAACACACAGTTGTTCGAAACGGTTTTGTCGCAGAATCTTGGTTTGAAGCAACTGGACCAACCCTTGAGCCACACTGTGCACCAAGCAACACAGCAGAGCCCTCGACACCTCCCCCCCTCTCCTCCGACACACTCTCCACTAACACGCGGCCACACCGGGGCGACCGCGTTTCGCCCAAACGAGTCACTGCTCCACTCCAGGCGCGCGCTGTGCCTGGCGCTGGCGCGGGAAGGTGCGCGATGCCCGGGAACCCATCGGCCGCGGGGCGGGCTCAGAGACTCGGAGCGGCGAGCGCGGGCCGACTCTCCAAGATGGGCAGCCCCAAAGTGCGACCCCGTTTCCTGTGGTGAAGGTAGGATCACAAAGGAAAACTAGGTCAAGGGTATGCGGAAATCCGTTTTCCCTTGGGTAGCGGTTTGGGGTATTGGAATCACCACGTGGGGGGTTCAATGGGATATATGGAAGTTGATTGGCTTGGCAACTTAATGTGTCGGAGTTTTGCAACTTTGTCTCTCTCAAAGGCTGTGGGAAGCAATCTAATCTTGGGTACTAACACCAACGCATTTCCACTTCGGTTGGTTTGTAATCAGAATCTTGGACACGTTTTGGGCACTACTTCAAGAGCTGCCCGTTCTCGCGGGATCCCCAGCAAACGCGGCCCTCACCTGGTTTAAATCATTGCATCGATGTTCTTGGGGCTTTTTATCAGCCGTGAAGCACTTGTGGGGACTGCATATGCTGGTCTTGGCTGCATGCTGCTTCGGGACTTTGGGGGCACCTTATTGCACATGCCAGTGCCATGTGATACAATCGCACACACACACACATACTTTCTGAGCTAGCCTTGTACTTGTTTCCTTCAAGCCAGAAGCAGCCCCGCTTTTGGCCCAAATTCTTGCTGGCCCGCAGCTGCTGAAGGATAAAGTGGCCGAATCGAAGCGTCTTGGCTCAGCTTCGAACATCTTCGCGGGCCTTTGCTCCTTTTGAATCGAAGCAGATCCACCTTTCCAGCTGGGTTGTTCGATTGAGAGTGGCTTAAAGTAGCTCGAGCTAGCTCTGATTTTCTGAGGATTTGGGATCCCCCTATTCATTTCCTTTTGAGGCCATTCAACAGGGGGGTTCAACCCAGTTTGAGTTAGCTCCAGTTTTACCTTGACTGCTTTTCCCTGCGGATTTCTGTCCAATGCATGGCTCCCTATATTTTTTGCTTGGTTTAGAAACGATGTTGACACGAAGCAATCGTGGCTGAGGCCATGGGTGAAACACCAATGGCTAAAGTGAAAGCCTATGTCCCACGTCAAGGCATTCTGATGACCCAGCCCAGAGGCCTGGCCCTGATCGCCCGGGACGGTGCGCAGCTGGAGGCGGGGGGGAGGCGAAACGGGCCTCGGGCCTGCTGGGTGCCGCTGGGGGGGGGGGGGGCTCCATCTGCTTGAAGGAAACTGCTTGAATGGGGTGGACTTCTGTAATACGAAACGGAATCTGCAGATCTGGTGTTGGAGTGTACCCCGTTTTGCTGGGAGGTTGAGCTGGGTTCAGATGGAATTCAAAGGGAAAGCTGGGCAGTGCACAGATCCCTTTCCTTCAGCTCGGATGTCTCGCGTTGAGGGGATTCTTTGGGTCAGCCTATCGTGCCTGAATACAGCTTGTTTTCCCCCAGTTGGCTGTGGTTGTCAAAACCAATGGGATCCCATTGTTGGGGTAGGTGAATTCACCACCTTTTTTTTTTTTAGTGGGGATTGGGATGTTCACTGGGGGTACGATTTGGATTTTGACCCATATCCGTGGAGCGGTTTGGGGTCGTAGACCCCTCGTGTCAGATGAGTGCAGATCCTCTGCGATCGCCAGGAGACTGCGGAGGCTTGCCGGAGGCTGCCAGGGGCCCTGCAGTTTCCGCCGCCGGTTTGGGGTTGCACGGCCCACAAGGCTTTGGGTTTGTCTCGAAGGGAACCTCACAAAATGGTGCGGTTTGCAGTTGTTCCCTTTAAGCTTACCCCAAGAAGGGTATCAAACAACAGACACACCCCTTTACACGTAAATTTACAGGCGAGGCTCTGGGTTCCTCCTTCAAAGGGATTGAGAACCCCTCCCGACACCGCTTGCCTCCCCTCCAACCTACGAGAGCCGCGCCATGTGTTGGCTGAGGTCAAAGGATCTCCAGTGCGAGCACTTTGCGGGTGACTTAGGGAAGCACTTGCCTGAGTGTCGGTGCTTGCACCCCCCCCAAACCTTGATTGCTGCCTCTGGTTGGGCCACCACTGTGTGAACAAAGCATTGAACCCACCCAGTGTCTCTTCAAATGCGGCCAGAGTCTGGTTGTGTAAACAAAGCTTGCCCGCCTCCCTATTGAACGCCCCTGTTAATATTGCCATTATTATGTTCATCATCATTGTTATCATTACTATTATTTCTATGATTGCTATTATGATTACCTACTATGACGATGATGATGATTATTACTATTGTTCTTATTGTTCTTATTATGTTAATATACATGTATGGGCGGGGGTCTAAGTGTTTGCTTCGTGATCAAGTGCTTGCCGTCCTCGTTTCAAGCTAAGGCTCGCTGAGTTGGAGTCGCTGCTGGAGCCAGTGCTGAGGCCTGGTGAATTTTGCAGCACGTAGCAAAGGAAGCTGAGCGTTTAGTAGAACTCAAGCGACCTAAGACAACATAGTTGGTTTCTCTTTGTGGGTTCCTCAAAAGGGTTCCTTCAAATAGTCGGTTTCCCTTTGACCCCTTCGAAGAGTTGGTTTCCTTTTGGTTCTTTAGAAGGGACCTGGAAATCCAGAAGCGTTGGCAATAGAGGCCGATGGAAGCTGAGGGGGGAACCACTGGATGTTGTCTTAAGGTGCAAATGACATGAAACTGTCAGGTGCAACAAGGCGAATTTGAGGCTTAGGAGGCAACTCTCCCGTGATAGAGGGGCTTGGGAGACCACATCCTTGAGCTGCAATCAGGAGGTTCTGATTGCTTGAATGCGGCGCACTTGCAGTGTTCGCCACTCCCAGCAACAGCAGAAGACACGATTTGGTTGCAATTGACTTTGCCAATGTCGTCTTTGAATGGGCATTTCCCCTTAGCTGGAATGGCTGGCAACTGGAACACTTCAATTTGTCGGCTTCCAGGAGAGACATCAGGTTGCTGTCGCATGAATTGGGGCTGATGCAGAGCAATCCCTTTGATGGCAATGCATGGCACGACTGCTGGTAGACCAGTATCTGTGATGTTGGGGATGGGATAGGCGTTATATACCTTAGCACTTTGTGGGTTGGTTTGTCTGCTTGTTGGGAGCCGGTTTCGACTCTGAATGAGGTTTTGGTGCATCCAACAAGGAGTCTCATCCCAACCGAGGCGTGTTGCAGAAGGCCATGCCTTCTTTTGTGAGGCCTTCACAAACTGGCGCCCCAGCCCTTCCCTTAGGCTTCTTTGTTTTCTTTTTCCCGGAAATAGTGGTGGATTTCCATTTAACCTGAGGGACCTGCCGGGACCTGCCAGGCACCAACACACTTTTAGGGGATCAGAAAACGGACAGCCCAGCAGAGCTCCAGCTGGTTGGAAGGGAGCCCTTGCGGAGCTCTGCCCCAGGTACCTGGCAGATGCCGTGGCCTCGCCGGGGCCTCGCTTTCGGCGGGGCAAAACCACCGGGGTCACCAGAGGGGTGGCCCCAAAATCGCAGGGAGGTTCTGTCAATTTTTGGGGAGTCCCTTAGTTTGCGCGGCTGAGATTTTGCTGGAAGCGCTTTTGTCAGGGTATGTGTGTGTTTTGATTTTTGTGTATGCCTTTCGCAACGAAAGGGAAGCCAAAGACCAAAGCATTTTGGAGGTTGCACATCCCATGAGACTCGCCCCTTGGATGACTCGCCGATTGTTTGGAACGAAATTCGCCCAACCCGTTTTGGAGCCGGAGAGAGGGACGCGAGGTGCGGAGGCGGTGGCATTTGCGAGCTCTTGGTGCTGCACAACTCCGGCAGTCTAGGCGGGACGGCGGGCGCGGATTTTGTGGTCACCGGAAATGGGTCAAAGTGGCAAAAGGCGTGTCTCAGAATTTTTGTTCGGTCTCTGTTAAATACGGAGTAAAAGGGGGTGCGACCAAATTTGAGAGACTCAGGTAGCCTGTGTGGTTAATGGGGACAATGTTTTCATTGTTTTATTCTTCGCGGGGCAGGCAAATGTCCAGGTGTGAACCCAAATGAAAGGATTTTGGGGGAGGGGGCCAATGATTGAGTTGATGAGAGGAAAGGCCTCGTCTTGGGCCCTGTGATGAAGGTTTCTTTGGGGATTCCTTTGTTGCCCAGATGACATAAAGGTGTGTCCTCAAAAAGGCAAAGGATTTGGACACCTCAAGATGGCAATGGCTTTGTTTTCGTTTTCCCGAAATGCCATCTAGGGCAGGGCCTCTAGGAGCATTCCCTTGCGCGCACGAAGCAGAGCACGACGGAGTCAGCGAACTGCATCTACAAAAGAACTGGGTTTATGCCAAAGCCGTCCGCCTGAGTTCGCGCCATATTGTTTGATGTGCTTTGTTGAGTTAAACAACGAAAAAAGAAGTCCCTGCTAGTCAATGGTTCGTTTGGGGAGAAAGCCGATTGGTAGCGCATGCTTTTGTCTGCTCTGCTGATGCGGTTGAGCCTTTGTTGATGCATGATAGCTGGCCAGCACTGCATGAGTTTTTGAGCCAGTTCGTCCAATCGGCGGCCAGAGCTTGACATCCGCTTCTTTTGGGATTTGGTGCCAGTCATTGGGGCCTGCTTAACCTTGAAACACTCAATCTGGTTGAGTCTCCTTCGTTTCAACGTACTCTTTTTTCTGTTGAAAGTTGTGGCATTGACGACAGACTGGGTGGACTGTGAGGCCGCATGGACTATGTGCAGAATTTGGGTGCCCAGGAGACCGGCGCTGGGTGGCCTGGCTGAGGGGAGATGGCATGCCTACGCTTGGGTGTGTTACAAGCCCCGCTTGTACAGAGGCGGCCTTCGCTGGTAGGGACTTTAAATGGATCCCGCTGCGGGGAAGTGGGAAGTCCGTGCCAACAGCGTGTGCAACTGGTGACAGATGGTGATGGTGGTGGTGACGATGATGATGGTGGTTGTGGTGATGATGATGATGATGATGATGATGATGATGATGATGATGATGATGTCGATGACCATGGCCATGACCGTGACCATGACCATGCTTATGATCGTGCAGGTCAGCCACATGTTGCAAACTAGCCAACAACAAGCAACCGTGCCACCTGAGGAAACAAAGGCCCCCTTCTAGGAGCAAAATAGTCCAAACCCGGAGGTTTTCTGGCAGGTTCCACAGGGGTCATTCTTTTGACTGTTTCTGTGGGTGATCAAAGTCAGAACATGGAATCGGCTGTTTCCCTTTATCCCACCACTTATATAGGGGATGACTTTGATCATGGCAAAAAATGAGGCCGGTTCCACCTGAAGGAGCATCCCTCTCAGAGGCAAACAAGTCCCCCTTGGAGCAAAATTGTCCAAACTGAGGGGTTTTCCGCCAGGGGCACCTGCACCGAGAAAGCTGCCCTCTGCACCTCTTCGTCAGGCCGCGGTGGAGCTGAACCTCACGGGGGTGATGGTGCTCACGCAGGCGCTGCTGCAGCGCTTCGGGCCATGCGCGAAAGGCGGCGAGGCCGGGTGCGGCGGCCGCCCGGGCCGGGGGGTAGGAAGCGGGGGGGGAGGTGGCGGTGCGCAGTGGGTCGGTTTTTTTGGTGTGGGGTTTGAGGGGAGGGTCGCTTGGGGGCGGGTCTTGATGTTTCGAGGTGCCAACATGGGGCTGCTTAACGGGCATCATTGAAAGTTTAAGGCGATAAAGAAGACTAGCTGGGGGTTGATGCGATCCCAGGGTGGGAGCGCGCGGCTGGGATGTTGCCGTTTTACCTCAAGGTGAGGACAAGAGGACTCTTCGATGTGCAAATCGTTTGTGCTGGAAAGCCATGGCAACCAAGTGGGGGGAGGAGGGGCCTGGGCGCTTGGGGGCTCAATCGCAGCCTATTTGGTAGGTCACAACTCATAACCATGATTATGCGTCAACCATCCCCTGTCCCACTAGCACGTAGTGTAGGGTGTGGGACTAACCACCAGAGCATTTGGGTTCATCATGGCGTATCCCAATTTCGTTCTGCAGGATCAACATCTTCCGGCGAATCAGAGGACACCCTAAGACCTGATGAGTCGAAGAGCTGCAAATATCAAGCCCGAAGCGTCAGAGACACTGTCAGAGACATCAGCCTCCGCCAGCTTCACCCTTTGCCTCCGAAAAAGACTGCAGCCAAAAACCCAAAATGGCATAGAAGTCCCATGGACTGGGTATGCAGTCGCGAATTGGGGCAGTGCCATGGGTTCCGGGGCGTCGCTCGCGGATGGCGCTGCTCCTGTGGCGACTGGGCTGATGTCCTTGGAGCCACAAGACTTGGATGATGCAGACGCGTTCTTCAAGGGAGCCTCGTTTAACGAGGACGAGAGGAGCGTGTTGTCAGGGATGGTGGGGTATGTCGTCAAAACTCAGCTTGGAGGTGTGGAGTACACCATGCCCCTTCGGTGTCTTGCAGTTGAAGCTCCAGTGACTCGAGTGGCATTGTGCCTTCATGGATTTGGGGATGACCGTTGCATGGCCTTGTGGAGTCACTTTTGGACTCCTATGACGCAGCAAGGATTTCATGTCATGGCTCTGGACCTACCAGGCTTTGGCCGTGCAAGTGGCAAGCCTGGTGTCACAAAGGATTGGTCTGCGATGGATGGAGAGCTACTCCTACGTCTCCTGGAGTGCCTCAGGGTACCGGACGGTGCGGTGTCAGTTTTCGCCGAGGGCATTGGCGCGTGCGCCTTCTTGCGAGCGTACGCGCAGAACCCCGCGCCATTTGCGGCGCATCATGTTTTGTTGAATGTGCAGATAGGCGAAGTCCCCAAGGGTCTGCGGGAGAACCTGGAAATGAGAGGAGCTGACCTCATGCTGTGTGCCTGTGAGAAGTTCTATCCAGCACAGCCGCCGTGGATGCTTTCCGGGATCAATCAACTTTCGCAGCTGCTGCTGGACCCAAGTAGCATGAGCTTGTGTGGGGGTTTTCTTCTTTGGAAGGTGAAGGATGCATTTGGCCCCACTCCTTTCAAGAGCATGAAGGATGGCAGCTGGTGGCTCGGCAGATTGGAGAAGACTGCTTTGGCCAAATCCTGCGGCCAGGCCCTGGTTTTTCAAGCCTCGGAGGAATGCTTCCAGGAGCTCTTGCAGTATGTCATGGCGGCACCTCGGAAGGTCACCGTGACCGGGCCTTTGTTGGGGCCGGAGATGACTGCCATCGAAATGGGCGAGATCAACGACACCTTTTCGGTGTTTATTCGGATCAGGCCGCTCTTGGAAAGAGAAGTGAAGGCAGGTGCAGAGAATTGCCTTGCTGTCTCTGACACTGACTTTCCACGCGACCCACCACCTCAGCGGATTTCGGTGCAAAGCGCTGATTCCAAGATGAAAGGCAACTACGTGTTCAATCGCGTCTTCGAGCAGTCTATGAGTCAAGAGGCGATCTACAATGCCACGGCCAAGCCGTTCGTTTTAGACTTCTTAGCAGGAGTCAATGTCACAATATTTGCCTATGGTCAGACCGGCACCGGCAAGACTTACACCATTAGCGGGCCCGAAGAGGATCCGGGGATTGTAAGCAGAAGCTTGTCCGACATTTTTCAGCAGCTGCCGGCAGACAAAGAGCTGCACTACGAATACGCGCAGCTCTACCTGGACGACTTCAAGGACTTGTTGGTTGACGCCTCCAGTCTCGGGAAGCTGGTCGAGGGCAAAGCTGGAGTTGAGCTCCTTGGCCTCTCAAGCCACCGTGCCACGTGCGCTTCTGAGATTTTGACGGCATTGGCGAAAGGCGCCGCGCGACGTGCAACGAGAGCACAGGACATGAATGAAGTATCCAGTCGTAGCCATGCCATTTTGATGCTGCGCCTGAGAAATGGAGGCGCCGGCGCTGAGATTTTCTCCTCCATGTTCATCGTTGACTTGGCTGGCAGTGAGCGCGTCGCACGAAGTGGGGTCACGGGTGACGGCTTTGCTGAAGCCACAAACATCAATTTGTCTCTGACAGCTCTGGGCCGAGTGGTGATGTCTCTGATTGAAGCCGAGATGGCTGAAACCAAGGTCTTCATCCCCTACAGCTCCTCGCCTCTGACGATGCTGCTCAAAGCAGGGCTGGGCGGGAACAGCAAGACTGCCCTCATTGCATGTGTCACTCAAGCTGCGGACTCCTTGAGTGAGAGCGTCAGCACCCTCCGTTTTGCCATGCAGGAGCGAGCTAACTTGCGGTTTCAGCATGTTTCATGTGGCTGGATCCCATTCTTGGGGTAGGTGAACTCACCACCCATTTTAGAACCAGTGGGGATGGGGATGTTCACTGGGGGTACGATTTGGATTTTGACCCATGGCCCTGTGTTGACGGGGGTTGTAATGACCCGGACATTTTTCGTTCAAGAGAGGCATCCCTTAGGGTCCAAACCGTGTTTTTACGAGAGAACGATGGGAATGATAGCTCTTTTGCTGTGGGATGCTTGGATGTTACGTCATGTGGGCTATCACTTGTACCGAAAAGGGGCAAGTTCCGAGCTGGAGCTGCCGAAGTGTACTTCGCGCACTGCTGAAACTAGGTCCCACAGTAGTGCTCTTTTACCCTTTCTGGGGGGGAGGGTTCCCCTACTAAAATAGACTAGAGAAGAAAGGGTACACTGCGCCTACCTCTCTACTGGAGGACCTTGGAAAAGTTGGCGGTTGCCTTGGGAACCTTGCGAAGCGAGAACAAGGGCAAACCAGAAGAGTCGCAGGACCAGCAAAAAGCCAGGTGGTGCAACATTGCAGCAATGTACTGCAGAATTGATGTGGGTATGGGCCAAAATTAAACCACCAGGGGACCACAGGTGTTAGTCCTTTTTTCCATTTACCAGGGCTCCATTTGGGGTACCGATTTCTGACCCACCATGTAATGGAAGCCCTTTCTTTCTGGCAGCCCAGTGCCAGGAACGGCTGTGTCCATCTGCGGCATGGGTAGGGGTCCCGGACAAGCCATCCCTCCTGTGCGACTTTCCAATACTTTGTCGAAACAAGTTGGGTTTGTCTGAAAACGGGGTCACCCGCCAAGTTGTTTCCCTTTCGATTCCCTTCAAAACAGTCCGAAACATGGTACCGCCCCCCCTTGCAACGGACATGGAATGATTAACGGATCATGACGGTTCTCGTTCTCAATGTGTTGCAACTGGCGGTGGCTTGTCATGGCGAGCTAGTGCTGGGCATTGCCTTTCTCTTCCACCGTCCCAGCACATCTTCACACCAGAACAGATTGTACAGCTACCCATAAACCGAACAAGGGCGAAGCAGAAGACGACGCACCATGTCTGTGTATCTGCATCACCCGTCCCCAACATTGTCCCACTTGTTTTTCTTCCACCAGGCGTCGCATGTGAAGAACAAGGTGGAGCAGAAGGAGACACAGGACAAGGCAGATCAGCAGAAGGAGCAGATGGCTGGCGCTGGGAACCATCCGCACCTGTCTGGAGGCAAGATAGGCAGGGGAACAGTCGCTCTGCGCGGTGGAAACATTGAAGTTTGCGGCACCTGGAAGTCAGCGGCGGAAGACACCGTGCTTCTCCTTGGCGGTTTGGGGAGCGAGCTGGCGGAGTTGGAAGAGCTCGTCAGCGCGCTGGTGGACATCAACTGCCAGGTGTTAGCACCGAAACTGCCTGGGACCGCCGAGAAGCACTTGGATTCGGATGTTGCGGTTCTCCTGGAGCTGTGCGACTGGCTCGGCTTGGCGAAGCCGGTGTTTTACGGCCGAGACTGGGGCGCGATACGGGCAGTGAGGTACAAAATTGTGAATCCGCAGCGGGCAGGCAACTTGATTCTGGAGAATAGGTCCAACAAGCTGACTGAAGCCCAGTACAAGGCGAGGATGAAGAAAGATCCCAACTTTGCGTTGCAAGAGCACATGGGCCCCTGGCTCTGGCTGTATGATGGCGCCTTTCCGAAGAGTTTGGATGGCACGGTGGTGGGCAACAACGTCAAAGGCTTCAAAGGCAAAGTGCTGCTTCTCTGGCCTTATCAGACCAAGGGCAGGCATGATCCACCGAAAAAGCCGACCACTTGCAGCAAAGTCGTGGATGCATACGCGAAAGCTTTGAAGACCAAGCCCGTAGATTCTTTTCTCATGACGGATGCAGACGTCTCTGCTCGGATTGTCGGAGTTGCTGCGTGAGAAGCCGCGAAGCCACGTGCGCATGGAAAATGTGAGAGTGCGATAAGGGCCAGATGAAGGTAGAAGGCTGTTTGCGTGATTTCAGCCCAGATCCAGGCTTGCAAGGGTTCTTGGCACTACATGCATTTGCAAGAGGCCGTTGTAGCTTCATTCGTTGTATTTCCAGATCGTCCCAAGCAGTTGGGGGCATCTAAGCTCTTGAACGAGGGATGGACAGCGGAGAAGATCTGAAGCTTCAGAGTTGATTTGCATATAAGGGGTTACGCAGGTTTTGGTCCATGTTTCCACTTACCAGGGTTCCATTTTGGTGCCGGTTTTTTGAGCCACAGCCATATTGAACAAATCTGATCGCTCCAATCTAACTTGGTCAATTGATGTGATTGCTGTTTTGTGGGCCGCAGCGCCGTCGGGCTTGCTGAAACTAGAGCGAAACGGCCAAAATACTAAAACCACAACGGCCAAACATATCAATCACGAATACAACTCAACTCCGGCTCCCACCAGGACTTCTTCTTCGCTAGGGCACAAAGATCAGAAAAAAAGGGCCCGCCAGGAAGTATCGTCTAGGGCACAAAAGTAGCAAAATGGGTCCTAGTCTGGGGATCTTGGAGGTCAGCCCTTCGGAACCAGCGGAGCGAAAGGCGAGCCTTCGGATCCGGGTGGTGAACATCTCCAGCCTCCTGGCTCTGCAGGCGACTTCGGCGTGCGACTTCGGCGGGCGAGCGGCGGGCGAGCGGCGGGGTCATGTGCTCGTGGGTTGGCCTGGGTGTGGATTTTGAAAGGTAGCTCCCGGGTGGGCCTCCAAATAGGTATGGAATTTTGAAAAGTATGGATTTCAAGAGTTGGAGCCAAGTTCGTTGGTGGGCCGAAATGAATTCCCACCGAAATCCGAGTCTGTCTTTTTTGTTCTTTCTCCAAATGGTTGTCCCACAAAATCTGGACCCATACTGCATCTCCCATCCCATATGGGTTCCTTTCAGCGTGGGAGAAGTTCTGCGTTTCCGCCTCCGAGAGCGATGGATGCGTTCCAGATGCGAGGCGATGCCTTGCTGGTCGTTGTATGCCACCGTCAAGGCGGGGGAGGGAGGGGAGATCTGGGGATCTGGCGATGGATTGGAGAGGTTTCTTCTTTCTATTCAGTTTGTCTTTGTGTTCTTTTGGTTTTTCGTTTGGTTTTTTTGTCAAGCCATTTTGTTTCTTCTTCTTTTTTTTTGTATTTTCTTTCTTTCTTGCTTCTTTCTTTCCTTCTTTCTTGCTCTTTTGTCCTTTTCCCTGATTCTTTTTCCCTAAGCGAATGGAATGAACTCCAGGGTACGGCATTGGCTGAAGGATGTGACGTCACGTGACTAGGGGATGTGCCTTTCAGCAGAAGCGATGATTCTTCCAGTGCGGGTTCAGGGTTCTTCTTTCCGTTGGGTACAGGCAGACTTAGCGTTCCGCTTCGTCGAGCACCGTGACAGATTCTTTGGCCAAGTTCCTTGTGAGCCCTGCTGGGAAGCTGGGGGTTTGGGGTGGGTAAGGGGAACCTCCAAACCACCTGGCTCCACCTCTAAACCACCTGGCTCCAAGGTCTTAGTATGACAGGGGAACGAAAAGGACAGTCCAACACACCAGGGTAGCCCACCTCTAAACCACCGATCAATCCAAAGCACCAAGTAGCTACTCCAGGCGGCGCGGGACATGTACATGAAGTCCCTGGCCGCGGACGCGAAAAGCTGTGGCTTTGACGCCTCTTGGTTCGAAGGCGACTCCCCGGGGCGCTTTTGCGCAAAGGGCGTGACCGAAGGCACATGAAGGTCTCTCAACACGGATCTCGGGCCTCTTTCTTTTTTTTTGGGGGGGGTGTTTTTTTTGTTTAACGCGATCAGAGTGAAACCATGAAAACTCGGAACCTTCTTAAAGCGAAGCCAAAAAAACACCCAGCCCATATTTTGATCAACCTTTCAAGTGATACAGCCTTTGCGGATGGAAATTCCTCCTGCAGCCATTTTTCCCCGGCCATGTCCAATGTGTTTTTTTCTCCCGCAGAATCCCCCTTTTTGTGGCCCGTTCAAGGGGAAGCCACGAGAAATTCGCCGAGTCCAAGCCCATTCGAACCGCTACCGGCATTTGGGTCGTCAAGATAGGAGGATAATTACCCACAACTCCTGGTTTTCCTTTTGGCTTCACTTCAAACCTACCTTAAGTTGCTGGTGCTCAGTAGGGCATGTGGCAATTTGGAGGTTTTTGGTGAGGTCCGGACACTCTCCTGGGCGCCGGGGCCGATGCAGACGGAGATGCTGCAAGAGGCGCGGGACTGGAGTGGTTCGGAGTGGATGCGCCAAAGGCCGATCTTAGAGGGCTCCTTAAAAGATACATTTTGCAACCAGTTGAAGCATGTGGCTTCTTCCGCCGAAATAAAGGGACACCGTACCATTTACAAGTTGCAATGTTCAGGCGTATTCACTGCATCCGGATTTTGTTGTAGAGGTGGAGTGTGGTGTTTCCCTTGAACGCTTGCTGGTTCAGATACCCCCCAGACGATTCCATGGAAGCTCCCGAACGGACCCGAGATGGAAGACTTGGTTCCAATTTCCAGGATCGGCCAGAACTGGGGGAGCTTCCATGTTAGTGGGGAGTGTAGGCAGGGAATAATTGGAAATCCGCTTCCTATGGCCTCAATTTGGGAATCCCCGAGACCGGTTCGTTCCAAACGGGCCCGTTGTCGTTCCCCATCTATTCCAGCGAGAAAACGAGGGAGCTCAAGCATTGGTCCGGGATGTCCGGGTTTCTTTTGGTTGTTCTTGCAAGAAGCCAGTTTGAGGACACCACCTGGCCACTTGGAGACTAGTGAGTGGTGAGCGGGTCTTTCTCTCGCTCTCTCTCTCTCTCATTTTGCAGGGGCTTTGTCCGATTCATAAAGCGCCGGCTCGTTTGCGCCAATAGAAGCCTGGGAAGAATTCGGAATGCACAAATGCACAGCCGGGCCTTTGCTTGGACTATGCCGGAACAATTACATGCTGCTGGTGGTGACTGACGACCTCATGTCTTGCATGGTCGTGCAAGTGCCAGCTCGTGCCCTCATGCTGCTGGTGCAGGGCAAGAAATTTGTCCCGTACAGCCAGGAAACAGCCAACACCAAAAAGCCAGACGTCGTTTCCGGCTTTTCCAAGTCATGTTTACATGTTCCGTAAGTTGGCCCTTGCCGACATCTTCGTCCTTCGCCCACGACATCGCCTCTTGGCTTCTTGTGTAACTCGTGCGCTCGGAACCGGCCTCTCAACCTGCCGAGGTGATCGACACCTGCCCCGACCCGGAGGTGCGCCAGCAGTTCCAGGCGCGGACATTGGCCCGGTTTGCGAAAGGAGAGGGAGGCTTTAAGGAGCCTAGCAAAAAGCGTGTGTCTTTGGGCCATTGGAGGGACCCACCCCCCGAATTTTGTTGTTTTTGGTGGTTTCCTGTTGGTTTGGTGGTTTCCTGTTGGTTTCCCGTTAACACCGCAAGAGTAATTGGTATCCTGAAAAAAGACAAACCTTCAGGAGGCATCGGATTTGCTCCTGTCAGGACATGCAGAGCCAGGGGAAGCTGGTGGAGGTGGACAGCAGTGTGGCACGGAGCCCCTGTCAGATGATACGCTCAGAGAAAGAAGGAAGAAGGGCGCTGGTTCTTTGTTTGAGTGTGTGGCAATCCTGCAGTCAGGAACCGGAACAAGAAGATGTGGCTTCTGGAGTTTCAGGCATTGGGCGTGAAAAGAAGTGCGCTGGCAGGGAGACATGCTGCCTGTTTGGTGCCTTTTTTGCGCTAGCAACTTTGGACAATGGTCTGATTTGCCTTTGGAGCCCAGCCCAAGAGAGCGGGAGAGGGAGGTCTTCCCAAAACGTCGCGCCCTTTTTGTGCGCAAAAGGATTGCTGTGCGTCTCGTGAGGTGACATACCTCCCAGTGGTCAACCCTCCCCCGGCATTGGAGATCTTCGGGGTCTCTCTACGCTTACGTCTAACTCACTTTCTGAGCGCCTGGACTTCAAGCTTTTGGGAAAATCCCTTTAGTGGCAAACAAGAAACACATATGTGCCCGTTTGAAGGGAGTCTGTGAGCTTCTGTTGACAGGGCAACGAAGTAAGGTCAAGGGGCAATAATACTCCCTAACTTACCGCAATTTTCCATGTTTGCCCTTTAGCTTACCGTGGTTTACCATGGTTTCCCTCCAACTCTGCTGGTTTTGCCACGGTTTCGTGGTTCTGTTTGGTTTGCCTGCTGTTTGTTTTTACGTTCAAAACCAACCCCGTCGGCCTTGGCGACGCGCGGAAGGCGAAGTTGGTGCGTCTGCTGCGAGAGGACGCCTACCTGCGCAGAGCCCAGAGATTCGGAGGCGGAGGCGCTTGGCGGATGTTTTGAAGGGAGCCCCGGTTTGGGGAAAGGGAAGCCAAGTGGGAAGCCAAGGCAATTTTTTTTGGGGGGGGGATTTCCGAAGGAGCCGAAAGGGAAATGAAAGGGAAACCGGATGGACAGCCGAGCCCACAATAACTATTCCAAGGGCAAATTAGGCTGTCGCTTGCTGTGAGTGGGCAAGGGAAGTATGCGTCAACATGTGGGGCCACAGGTAAGTGACATCTACGCTAGGTTGGAAGGGGTTGGATGTTGACACATCCACGGTGGACAGTTGTTGGTTTTGGGCTGCCACTTTCTGTGAGCGGGCGCAAAAAAGCAAAAACAAAGGAAACCAAATGGAATCGCACGAGAAGACAAGGGAACCAAGGCGCTGGGGGAAGATTTGACACTTTGGTGGGAAGCTGTTGGATTTCCACGGGAGCCACAAGGGAAATGAAAAGGACCGGAAATCCCAAGGGAACGGAAGGCGCAACGCAAGGACCATCGGGAAAGATGATAGAATGACACTTGTCACTTGTCATGATGACACATACCAATTAATTCGCACGAGGCTTGTGCGAAGGATTTTGGTGGCCGGAGTTGGGGACATTGCAACATTCTGGCCCTTTCCACGTGAGGGGATGTGCGGTAAGTGCAATCCAGGAGCTTGGAAAAAGCCCTGTTTGGCTTGCAAGCTCCGATGGGAATGATTTCGGGCCCGAGGAGTGGGGCGCACATTGACTACTACGACGTTTGAGATGCTTTTCAGGCGGAATGCAGGGAGCAGTGAATGTCTGGGCAGGAGCGAACGAGGCAGTGGGTGAAAGAAGCATTTCAACAGCCAAGGAAATGGACAGGGAGCTCCCCTAAAAGGATCAGTTGCCTGCCAAAGCACACCTGTCAGCATCATTGTTAGTCAGAGGAAAGTGTCAACTCTCACCAAGTTTGAGTCACATGCTGCTTCCGCATTGAGTCATGCTGCTGCCACTGGCGCACGACAAAAGGTGCGCGTGCATCAGCTTTCCTGATGCGGCTTAGCTGATGTTCAGTGGGTAAACACTCTTCCATATTTGCCAATCTGTTAGATTCTGTTTTCTGGCCAATTGAAAGGGAATTTCGCACAAACAGCTCTCTCACTTCTGGGCGGCTATTTTAATCTCATTGGAGATTTTAGGAATCAACTTACAAATCCAATTTCGGGAAATGAGGATACACTAATGAAATAATGAAATGACTTGCGGAGACAACAAGTCGAAAATGAGGAAATGAAAATGAGTTTATCCTTAGAAGTCATGCGTGTCTGCCAAGTCACTTCTTGTGTTCTGCAGCCAGCGTCTTCCAAGTCGAAGCTTTCGCCGTCCCTCGCCCCTCGCCATGGCCCCGGCGCTCACGTGGCAGACGGACGGCGTCGTGGCCTTCACGGCGCCCTGGGCCGCGGAGGCCTCCGGCGGCGTGGCGCTGCGGCCGCGGGGGCGCGGGGCCGAGGCACAACTCCACGAGGTGGACGGCCGCGGGCGGTCGGTGCAGTCCGTGTCGCGGCTCGACTTCGGCGCGGATGGCGGCTGCATGGTGACGGAGTGGTCCTCCCAGAGCGGCTGGGTCGAGGTGGGCCGGTTCCCCGGAGGCGGTGTGCGGTGGTGCTGGGCGAAGGGCCCGGGAGGGCAGTGGAAGGTCTGGGCCGAGGCGGACACCGGGGAGAAGATTCTGCTGAACAAGACCTTCAACAGCAGCGCGCCGCAGCTGAAGCTGTTTTCGATCAAGAATTGGCAGAGTCTGGACATCTCGCTGCTGCCGCTTCAACCAGGGCCTGGCAATGCTCCGCAAGTGAGCCCTCAGCCTTCGCAAGCCGAGCTCAAGGCGCAAGTGGACCAGCTGACCTCAGAGGTGCAGAGTGAGAGGGTGCAGAAGGCAGAGCTTCAGCAGCGGCTTGCAGAGATCACCCAGGAGAAGGCTGAGGCAGCAGAGCAACAAGAAGCCTTGCGCCAAGCAAAGCAGGAAATGCAGCAGCAGCTGGAGCAGCTTACACAGGAGAAGGCTGAGGCAACACAGCAACAGGAAGCCTTGCACCAAGAAAAGCAGGAATTGCAGCAGCAGCTGGAGCAGCTTACGCAGGAGAAGGCTGAGGCAGCACAGCAACAGGAAGCCTTGCACCAAGAAAAGCAGGAATTGCAGCAGCAGCTGGAGCAGCTTACGCAGGAGAAGGCTGAGGCAGCACAGCAACAGCAAGAAAAGAAAGATTTGCAGCAGCAGGTGGAGCAGCTTACACAGGAGAAGGCTGAAGCAACACAGCAACGGGAAGCTTTGCACCAGGAAAAGCAGGAACTGCGGCAGCAGCTGGAGCAGTCCAGGCACGATTTTGCCTTGCTTTCGCAGCATCAGCTTGAACAATCCAGGCACGACTTGGCGTTGCTCAGGGAGGAGAAGGCTCAGGTGACCCAGCGGCAGCTTGAGCAGCTCCGGCGTGACTTCATGTTGGCTTCGAAGCAGGCGGCGACCGAGCAGAAGCTGGCGGAAGTCGCGCGACAGCTTTCCCAGTTGAAGGAGCACTGTGATGCTGTCGTCGCACCCCAGCTGGATTAAGGAAAGTGCCTTCTGTCTCTCCTGCTCCGTAACCTGCTACATGCTTCCTGCAGTGCTGTTCTAAAAAGCTGCGCCATTCTGCAAGCTGATGGGTTGGACAGTGTCAGGCGTTCATCGCCTCCGACAGCGATCCACAGCCCGGAGCAGGCGCCTTGTTTGAACTCACGCGGTCAAGAGCTGTTTGTGCCGCATCGAGCGCGGGTCTTGGGGAAGGGGCGGGCGATTGCTCAGGCGATTCCCCGGCCAGCGGAAGCTGGCCTGTGATAGACCAAGAGGAGGCGCAGTCGGTGCAGTCGAGCGACCTGAGCAGCGCGTCCGCCGGGTCTGCCAAGTGCTTCCTCCCGAACACGGCCCTGGCCGGGGCCGGCAGCGCCGAGGGCCACCTGCTGCGAGTGGAGCGCCTGAAGCCGGGGGACAAGGTCCGGCTGAGCGACGGCACCGAGGCCTCGGTGCTGGACGTAAAGCGGCACCCCTCCAAGAGGAGGCCCTACGACGTCATGGAGCTCAGCACGCACCAGGGCAAGTTCCCGGTGTCGGACTCCCATCATGTGGCAGTGCCTGGGGTCGCAGGACTGCCACGTGCAAAAAGAGTTTCTGCATGCCGAGTGATGTTGAGCTTGCTTGCTTCTGTTTGTTTTGTGGTGGCCGGAAGATTCCGAAAACATGAGGTTAGTCAGGGTATCAACAACTGCCAGTTCCCCTCGTGAGCAATTTACATCGGCACTTCCACTGCGTTCCAGTGCGTATTCTTTGCCCTGTGCGATGTAGTGGGCCAGTGCCGAGGCGGGCTTTAGCATGGTTGGGGTTGGGGTGGGGGGGGGTTGGGGGGGGGCGAATGGGGCTCAAGGTGCGGGCCAGCTTATGTGTTTCGACGTGGCATGCCGTGTTGGGGCCGCCCCGGCCAGGCCCGCTTCGTCGGCAAGCAGATTCCTTGAGGCAGGGGGATCTGGTGATCGTGAGCGGCGACGAGCGGAGGCTGACCAACGTGGTCCCCAAGAAGGAGCGCATTTTTGGGACACTCCATGTTTTTTGTTTTTTGTTGTGTGTGTGTGTGTGTGTGTTTGGTTGGGGGGGCTGACAGAATGAAGGTGAGAAAAGCGGGAAGGGGGGGCGGGAAGGAGCGCACCAATCTCTTTGAAGTCTTTTTGGAGCCGGACGGCCCCCTGGAGATGTTCCACTTGAAGCAGAGCTGGAGTTTGCGGGTCTTCGGTTCAGCTCCTGGGTGTCTTCCTGAAGAGGAGGGCGAGGAGCTACTGCTGATGGGAAGCCCAAGTTAGAGGCCACTGTGACCCTTTGCCAACCTTTTTGCAGATGGCATGGCCGGAGGAGTGACGGTTCCCGTTGCAGCTTGAGTTCCCTATATGAGGGACTCTGAACTGTTCGGGTTTTCATAGTTTTCCGTGGCCAGCTGGGTTTTTGAAAGCTGCCGAAGCGTGGCGCAGGCTGTCCTTCGCGACGCCCCAAAATAGCTTGCCAGCGCGAAGCAGGTGACAGCTGAACATGAGGGAAGGAACTTAATTAGGACAAAGGATAGTCCGCTTCAACGGAAGCGTGCCTTCGTTGGCTTATTGTTGGGCGGTGGCTGGGCACGGCAGCATCCCGGTCGTCGTGGCCCGCCACGTGGCCGAATCCGAGCGTGCAGGCGAAACCGGTGAAGAACGGCTCTCACAGCCGCAGCCTTGGGCTCTGAGCGCCCTTTGGGGAAGACACGGAAACGCCGCAGCTTGCAGAGCTGACATGCCGCAGCTCAATCGCCTTCCCCGCAGTGGGGCCCGGAAGCAGCGGCCTGAGGCGGAAACGCAGTCGGAGAGATGGACTTTGTACGTTTTGTATTTGTCATTTCCGGGTGGTTGGTAGAAGGGATTGGCATTTCCTGACTCCATGCTCCCGCTTGAGGCGTGCCCGCTCCTCGCTTTCCCAGGCTGATGGCTTCTCGGGAGGTGAAGGCGGGGGAAGGCAGCCACGAGTATGGCGGAGCGATGGTCGAGGTGTGAAGGGGCGGAGTGGCTGAAGGCGAACGAGCATTCGTGTACGTGTATAAAAGTTTGGTTGTGTTTTGCGGGATGACTATCGGGCCATGTCAGTGGGAGCGGTTATTTGATTCCTACGGCGGGTTGCCGCGGTGCAATCTTTGAGCTTTGAAGTGGCTCCGGCTCAGGCCGCCGACATTACAGGCCTGCTTTCTTATTTGCGTCCCTTTGGAATTGTCCCCTTGCCCCCCTTCCCCTCTAAGATTTTTGCCCCCCTTTCCCTGTTGAGATCCATTCCCCCTTTCCCCCTAAGGCCCTTTCTCCCTCTGATATTTTTCCCTTTTCCTCCCTAAGATGTTTCCCCTCTCCCTGTTGAGATCCTTTCCCCCCTTTCCCCCCTAAGGCCTGTTCCCCCCTGAGAGCTTCTCCCTTTTCCTCCCTTTCCCCCCTAAGGCCTTTTCCTTCCTGAGATCTTTTCCCTTTCCTCCCTGAGATCTTTCCCCCCCTTTCCCTGTTGAGATCCTTTCCCCCCTTTCCCCCATAAGGCCTTGCCCCCCGCTGAGATCGTCTCCCTATTCCTCCCTAAGATCCTTTGCCCCCTTTCCCTGGTGAGATCCTTTCCCCCCTAAGGCCTTCCAGATCTTCTCCCTTTTCCTGCCTAAGGTTGTTTCCCCCCTTTCCCTGTTGAGATCCTTCCCACCCTTTCCCCCCTAAGGCCTTTCCCCCCCTGCGAGCTTCTCCCTTTTCCTTCCTAAGATCCCCCCTTTCCCTGTTGAGATCCTTCCCACCCTTTCGCCCCTAAGGCCTTTCCCCCCCTGCGAGCTTCTCCCTGTTCCTTCCTAAGATCTTTCCCCCCTTTCCCTGTCCCCCAGATCTTGTCCCTTTCCTCCCTAAGATCTGTTCCACCCATTTCCCTGTTGAGATCATTTCTCCCCTTTCCCCACTAAGGCCTTTGCCCCCAGATCTTCTGCCTTTCCTCCCTAAGATCTTTCCCCCCCTTTCCCTGCTGAAATCCTTTCCCCCCTTTCCCCCTAAGGCCTTTCCCCCCCTGAGATCTTCTGCCCTTTCCTCCCTAAGATCTTTCGCCACCTTTCCCGGTTGAGATCCATTCCCCCTTTCCCCCCTAAGGCCCTTTCTCCCTCTGAGTTTTTCCCTTTTCCTCCCGAAGATGTTCCCCCCCCCCCCCCTGTTGAGATCCTTTCCCCCCTTTCCCCCTAAGGCTTTTTCCCCCTGAGATCTTCTCCCTTTTCCTCCCTTTCCCCCCCTTTCCCCCCTAAGGCCTTTTCCACCCCTGAGATCTTTTCCCTTTCCTCCCTGAGATCTTTCCTGTTGAGATCCTTTCCCCCCCTTTCCCCCCTAAGGCCTTTCCCCCCGCTGAGATCTTCTCCCTATTCCTCCCTAAGATCCTTTCCCTCAGTTGAGATCCTTTCCCCCTTTCCCCCCGAGATCTTCTCCCGTTTCCTCCCTAGGATCTTGTCTCCCTGGCCCTGTTGAGATCCTTTCTCCCCCTTTCCCCCCCTAAGGCCTTTTCAGTTCTTCCTTTTCCTCCCCAAGATCCTTTGCCCCCTTTCCCTGTTGAGATCCTTTCCCCCTTTCCCCCCTAAGGCCTTTCCCCCCCTGAGATCATAAGGCCTTTTCCACCCCTGAGATCTTCTCGCTTTTCGATCCTTTCCCCCTTTCCCCCCTAAGGCCTTCTCCCCCCCCCGAGATCATCTCCCTTTTCCTCCCTAAGATGTTTTCCCCCCTCTCCCTGTTGAGATCCTTTCCCCCCTTTCCCCCCTAAGGCCTTGTCCCCCCTGAGATCTTCTCCCTTTTCCTCCCTTTCCCCCCCTTTCCCCCCTAAGGCCTTTTCCATCCCTGAGATCTTTTCCCTTTCGTCCCTGAGATCTTTCCCCACCTTTACCTGTTGAGGCCCTGTGCCCCCCTTTCCCCCCTAAGGCCTTTCCCCCCGCTGAGATCTTCTCCCTATTCCTCCCTGAGATCCTTTGCCCCCTTTCCCTGTTGAGATCCTTTCCCCCCTAAGGCCTTCCAGATCTTCTCCCTTTTCCTGCCTAAGGTTGTTTCCCCCCTTTCCCTGTTGAGATCCTTCCCACCCTTTCCCCCCTAAGGCCTTTCCCCGCCTGAGAGCTTCTCCCTTTTCCTTCCTAAGATCTTCCCCCCCGTTCCCTGTTGGCTTTTTGTCCCCAGATCTTCTCCCTTTCCTCCCTAAGATCTTTTCCACCCCTTTCCTTGTAGAGATCATTTCTCCTCTTTCCCCCCTAAGGCCTTTGCCCCCAGATCTTCTTCCTTTCCTCCCTAAGATCTTTCCCCCCCTTTCCCTGCTGAGATCCTTTCCCCCCTTTCCCCCCTGAGGCCTTTCCCCCCCTGAGATCTTCTCCCTTTTCCTCCCTAAGATCTTTTGCCACCTTTCCCTGTTGAGATCCTTTCCCCCCTTTCCCCCCTAAGGCCTTTTTTTCTCTTCTTAGATCTTTTCCTTCCTAAGATCTTTTCCCCCCTTTTCTTGTTGAGATCCTTTCCCCCCCTTTCCCCCCTAAGGCCTTTTCCCCCCCAAGATCTTCTCCTTTTTCCTCCCTAAGATGTTTTTCCCCCCATTCCCTGTTGAGATCCTGTCCCCCCTTTCCCCCCTGAGATCTTCTCCCTTTTCCTCCCTTTCCCCCCTAAGGCCTTTTCCTTCCTGAGATCTTTTCCCTTTCCTCCCTGAGATCTTTCCCCCCCTTTCCCTGTTGAGATCCTTTCCCCCCTTTCCCCCATAAGGCCTTTCCCCCCGCTGAGATCGTTTCCCTATTCCTCCCTAAGATCCTTTGCCCCCTTTCGCTGGTGAGATCCTTTCCCGCCTTCGCCCCAAGGCCTTTCCAGATCTTCTCCCTTTTCCTTCCTAAGATTGTTTCCCTCCTTTCCCTGTTGAGATCCTTCCCACGCTTCCTTCCAAAGATCTTTCCCCCCTTTCCCTGTTGGCCTTTTTCCCCCAGATCTTCTCCTTTTCCTCCCTAAGATCTGTTCCACCCATTTCCCTGTTGAGATCATTTCTCCCCTTTCCCCACTAAGGCCTTTGCCCCCAGATCTTCTGCCTTTCCTCCCTAAGATCTTTCCCCCCCTTTCCCTGCTGAAATCCTTTCCCCCTTTTCCCCCCTGAGGCCTTTCCCCTGAGATCTTCTCCCTTTTCCTCCCTAAGATCTTTTGCCACCTTTCCCTGTTGAGACCCTTTCCCCCCTTTCCCCCCTTTCCCCCTAAGGCCCTTTTTTCTCCGCGATCTTCCCCCTTTTCCTTCCTAAGATCTCTTCCCCCCTTTTCTTGTTGAGATCCTTTCCCCCGCTTTCCCCCCTAAGGCCTTTTCCCCCCCAAGATCTTCTCCCTTTTCCTCCCTAGGATGTTTTCCCCCCCTTTCCCTGTTGAGATCTTTTTCCCCCTTTCCCCCCCAAGGCCTTTCCCCCCCTGAGATCTTCTCCCTTTTCCTCCCCAAGATCTTTTCCCTCAGTTGAGATCCTTTCCCCCTTTCCCCCCCAGATCTTCTCCCGTTTCCTGCCTAGGATCTTTTCTCCCTGTCCCTGTTGAGATCCTTTCTCCCCCTTTCCCCCCTGAGGCCTTTTCAGTTCTCCCTTTTCCTCCCCAAGATCCTTTGCCCCCTTTCCCTGTTGAGATCCTTTCCCTCTTTCCCCCCTAAGGCCTTTCCCCCCCTGAGATCTTAAGGCCTTTTCCCCCCCTGAGATCTTCTCGCTTTTCGATCCTTTCCCCTATTCCCCCCTAAGGCCTTCTCCCCCGCCCCCCCCCTTTCCCTGTTGAGACCCTGTCCCCCCCTTTCCCCCCTCAGGCCTTTCCCCCCGTTGAGATTCCTCCCTAAGATCCTTTGCCCCCTTTCCCTGTTGAGATCCTTTCCCCCCTAAGGCCTTTCCAGATCTTCTCCCTTTTCCTTCCTAAGATCTTCCCCCCCGTTCCCTGTTGGCGTTTTTTCCCCAGATCTTCTCCCTTTCCTCCCTAAGATCTTTTCCACCCCTTTCCTTGTAGAGATCATTTCTCCTCTTTCCCCCCTAAGGCCTTTGCCCCCAGATCTTCTCCCTTTCCTCCCTAAGATCTTTCCCCCCTTTCCCTGCTGAGATCCTTTCCCCCCTTTCCCCCCTAAGGCCTTTCCCCCCCTGAGATCTTCTCCCTTTTCCTCCCTAAGATCTTTTGCCACCTTTCCCTGTTGAGATCCTTTCCCCCCTTTCTCCCTACGGCCTTTTTTTCCCGTCTTAGATTTTTTTCCTAAGATCTTTTCCCCCCTTTCTTGTTGAGATCCTTTCCCCCCCTTTCCCCCCTAAGGCCTTTTCCCCCCAAGATCTTCTCCCTTTTCCTCCCTAAGATGTTTTTCCCCCCATTCCCTGTTGAGATCCTGCCCCCCCTTTCCCCCCTAAGGCCTTTTCCCCCCTGAGATCTTCTCCCTTTTCCTCCCTAAGAGCTTTTCCAACCTTTCTTTATTCAGATCCTTTCCCCCCTGTCCCCCCAAAGGCCTTTTCCCACTCTGAGTTCTTCTCCCTTTTCCTCCCTAAGATCTTTGCCCCTTTCCCGCGTAAGATCCTTTCCCGCGTTTCCCCCCTAAGGCCTTTTCCCTCCAAGATCTCCACCCTTCAAAGTCTTTTTCCCCCTTTCCCGTTTGAGATCCTGTCCCCCCATTGCCCCCTAGGGCCGTTTCCCCCCAAGAAAGATTTCAATTTTCCTCCCAAAGATCTTTCCCCCCCTTTCCCCCCTAAGGCATTTTTTCCCCAGATCTTCTCCCTTTCCTCCCTGAGATCTTTCCCCCCCTTTCCCTGTTGAGATCCTTTCCCCCCATTCCCCCCCTTCATTTCCAGATGTTCCTTCACCAGCATGTGCAACATCCCCAGCATCACTTGCATCATCCGCATCCTTGGCAGGCGCTGATGCGGATGATGCAGGTGATGCTGGCGATGTGCCGCTGGAGCTGCTAAGGATGCGCTGCGGACCCAGGGAGAATCGAACACCCCAATGTTTTTGACAAACTGAGTTGCGCAAGCCAAAACAATGAACAGATTTAGTGAAGCGTCTTCAAATCACCGCGCGGTACGTGGACCACCCCCCCGCCCTCCCCCGCAATAGTCTGAAATGGTGGTTCTAGGGAGGGGGGAGGGGTAACAGGTAAAGGTAAAGAGGTAAGGAGCATTTTTTATGTTCAACACGCCGCCTGTTGTCGGCGGATATGTTAAGTCGCCATGAAATACAATGGATCACACACACACACACACTTTTCCGACCCTGGCCTTGTGCTTGTTGATGAAAAGCAAGAAAAAGTGTGCTAACGCTTTTTGAAATGAGATCACGATGACTATCATGATTGATGATAAGGAGGACGGCTGTCATGAGAAGCATCACCACAGCATCCTCTGCATTACAAATGCTGATAATGATGATAAGGAGGACGACTGTCATGATAAGCATCACCACAGCATCCTCTGCATTACCAATGCTGCCTAACGCCACATTTCAAATGTATAAAAGAAAGAGATGATGATGACAAGCATGATGACAATGATGAAGGTGACGACTGTGATGACAATCACGAAGCAGATGATAAGGATGATTACTCTCATGATAACTATCATCGTAGCATCCTCGGCATCACCAATGCTGCTGATGACTCTCATGATAAGTATCATCACAGCATCCTCTGCATTACTAATGCATTTAACATGTCTAGAAGAAAGAGATGATGATGACAATCGTGATAATGATGCTGATGATGATGCTGATGAGGATGAATCTTTCGCCTCCCCTTTTTAGAGAAAGGGTTGGCGGATTTGGGGATTGTGGCTACGAATGCTAAGAGTTGGATGAATTTGACACTGAAGACATGGTATGCTTCATCATTCACCAATGGCAACTCAGCAAACTACCCAGAAAGATGCTTGAAAGTTCTTGCAAGATGACACCCTTTGCGAATTTGCCCAGATTTCCCAACAGATCCAAGGTGTCGGATGCATTTCTAACCCCACTCATGTTAAGCTGCTTTCCAGCTACCCCCCCTCGTCAGCTGCCTCCGTTTGCTTGCTTTAAGCGCGCAGGCTGTATGCTTTGACTAAAAAGAAATGCAGCACAGATGATTGGGTTTGCAGTCCATCTTGGCAAGAAGTAGATTATTTTCTTGGATAGCTTGTGCAACTATATTTGAAGTTTTCCTTCTGTTAACTTCTGTTCACGGAAAGGATTTGTGATTCAGAACTCTTCCCTTAGTAACTTCGATGTGCTTTATACTTAAGGTTAAGTTAACATCATACGTGGAAGGGATGCCTCTTTAAATTAGCACTAATTGAATTATTCCATATCAAATCCTATCCAAAATCTGATCTGATTATTTGATTAGAATCCAGTTTGGTATAAGGAGCCTTATAAACGCGTTTTGTGCATTGATCAATGATCAGCACACCCGCCCGACTCCGCCCGTCTGCACCGCCAGCTCGCTCACCAAATGATGAGCGCAGGCGCCCGCCCGACCGCACACGCCCGACTGCCACGGACGAATCTCAAAGCTGCTTGCAAAGCTCATTTGTTGCTCCTTATAAGGCTCCTTCTTCGTCATGTCGCATCACTGGTAAAGCTGGGCTTGATGGATCGCGAAAAGAACAAAAGCACGGGTTTGCGGAAGCGTGAAAACGTTTGCGCAGTTTTCAACCGATAGCGATGTTTCAGGCAGTCCTTTGTTCACCCCTTGAATTAGATACAACGCTTGACCTCGATGGTCGGCCAAACAAGCTGGTTGGTGCGTTCGGCCAGGAGTCTCCCAGATCGCTGCGCATGTCCGGGATGTCATTCCGCCTGGTGCAAGAATGACTTGTGCACGTTGAGCTGACGTGCTAATATTGCCTGAGACACAAGACGCGTCCCATTGCACAGGCGAGACCGTGAGAATGGGAGATGCGATTTCCCCACCGCTCTTCTTTTCTGCCGACTATGATGTGAGTTGGTTAGCTCTTGATGAGACGGTTGTAACGCTCCGAAGACCAGATCTGCCAGCGCAATCCTCCACACAACGTTGTTTCCTGCGCATGTCTCCAAGTGGGAAGAACACACCCCAGTGTCACGCCTCAACACGTGGACCCTTGGCTTCCCAAGTTGCAGAGGACTTGAGTCCCATGCTTGCTCAAACCCGAGACCCCACTTTGTGTGCACGTGGCAAGGCTGGAGTCTTGTTCATGCTGGGGCCGCAATTTTATCGGGCTCATGTGAGCAGATGCACCAAAGCCAAGAGGCAAAGTGGAGTGTGCAAAACGACATGAGATGCATTGAACAGGATGGGCGGACGACAACTGCGCAACAGAGACCAAGAAAGCAAAGCTCATCGCCGAATGCTCTTGGACAAGCAAAGCATAACTGCATGCTCCCGTGGAACGTCCTTGACGTTGAATGATTCAGTCCGTGGACTTTCTTGACGCCAAACAAAATGCCCTGCCCTGATGCTGCGAACTGACAACAGATGAAGGAAACTGCTGGATTGACGGCTCACGCAACACGAACTCCAAGCCTTTGGCGGAAATGCGGCAAAACAGACTCTCAAGGCGCTTCCAAGCAGGTAAGTGACACGTGCATTCCAGCGCAATTGCTTCAACAAAAAGCATGAAGCAGGCATTCTAAAGCTCTGGGACGCCTAGAGCTTTACGATGCCAATGGAGAACATCAATCGGTTTTAGAGCAGCACGTCGCCTAAGTCTCAAACAGATTTGGACTCTTGCGCCATCGAATGTGCTTTGCAACTCTTGATTATACATTTGCAATGCTGCTCCGAAAATCAGCGTAAGCTGGCGGCATAAGCCAAGCCTCCACATGTGTCGCGAAAGCCAAACTGTGCATTGCGCAAGGTTTGCTGACGACCGGCGGCTACCATGCTGAAGCTTGTTGCCTTGTTTGCTGTTGTCGCTTGAGAGCAACAAGGTGCAAAGTGCCCACTGAGTTTGTGTCCCAAGTAGCAGCCGTCAGTGCCTGAGATGCACCAGGGAAGCAGCGAAGCGCAGGTTCCTTGCTCGTTGCGAGTGTACGAGTCTTGTCATCTCTGTGTTGTTTGAACTGAGCTGCTGTGCCGGCCACAATCTTTGCTACAGAAGCTGACTAATCCTTGCCGTGCAGAAGGGAATGCTGATTGCTGCACGCCATGTGCTGCACCTTGTGCCTATCCTGCCTTGCCATCAGCATACAATTGTGCCATCACAGTGAAAGCATGTTGTTTGCTTGGCTTGTCTTCTATGCGGCTTGGGCGCATGCCGAACGTGCAGCAAAGCATGCCGTGACACCTGGGTCTGCCTGTTTGTGATTCTAGCGGGGGATTGTGGTGCGCGCAAGGGTCAGACATAACAAGCGTCAACCGAGCAGCTGCAGTGTGTCAGATGAGGTCGTTTTGCAGCAAGCGGGAGCCAAAGGCCGTGTTGTCACTTTTATCGTCTTGGCAATGCTGCATCATGCGCACAAACTGTTTGCCCTGATGTGCTTTCCATTTCCGTGCCTCTTGCTTCCAACGTATGGCTCGCTCTCCCGCCAGGTTTGAAGGGTGCTTGCGGTCAGACTTGCTGATCAGGCAGATGTCAGCTTTGACATTTTCGGACTTGTTGACTGGCAGTCAGGCTGTCAGAAAGGCCACTGCTTTGCCCCACAAGTGCTCAGCGGTTGTCCAGCATGCTTGACTGCCTCGTTCGGCTTGTTGCTGGAGAGATTTATCAAGCCTGCTGGTTGTTTTCTTCGCCGTGCAGTATCAAATGGCGGCTGGGTAATGGCGGCTTCTTGCTTTGGGCAGGCCACGCTTGCTGGCCACCAAACTGATGTCGGCTTGCCATGTTTGGCACACGCAGAGACTACGTGTTTCTTGGCTTTGTCACGCGAGACCAACAAGGCGCAAAGTGCTGGCTGCTGCCGTCAGTGCCTGAGATGCACCAGGGAAGCGGCGAAGCGCAGGTTCCTTGCTCGGCGAAATTGTGCGAGTTTTGTCATCTCTGTGTTTGTTGAACTGAGCTGCTGTGCCGGCCACAATCTTTGCTACAGAAGCTGGCTGATCCTCGCCGTGCAGAAAGAAATGCTGATTGCTGCACGCCATGTGCTGCACCTTGCGCCTACCCGGCCTTGCCATCAGCATACAATTGTGCCAACACAGTGAAAGCATGTTTTTTTCTTGGCAGGCTGCCGAAAATACAACAAAGCATGCTGTGACACTTGGGTCTGCCTGTCTGTGACTCTAGCAGGGGATTTTTGTGGTCAGATACAAGCGGCGACCGAGCAGTCAGATGAGGTCGTTTTGCAGCACGCGGGAGCCAAAGGCCGTGTTGTCACTTTTATGGCCTTGGCAATGCCGGATCATGCGCACAAACTGTCTACCCTGATGTGCTTTCCATTTTCCGTGCCTCTTGCTTTCAACGTATGGCTCGCTCTCCCGCCAGGTTTGAAGGGTGCTTGCGGTCAGACTTGCTGATGTCAGCTTTTATATTTTCGGACTTTGTTGACTGGCAGTCAGGCTGTCAGCAAAGCCACTGCTTTGCCCCACATCACTGCCTGAGCTATGCCAAGTGCAGGTGGTACCTTCCTTGGTGCGAGCATGCAAGTTCTGTTTCGTCTTGGTTAAGTGACCTGACTGCCATGTTAGACCCAATGCTTTCCCGAGTTGCAGCTGTTTGTGCCTGAGCTGTGAGCCAGAGCAACAGTGCCCTTCAGCAGAAGCAAAATTCAGGCGGCGCCTTGCGCTGTTCAAGCGCTCAAGTTTTGTTTTCTATGTGTTGCTTGAACTCTGCCAAGTTGGACGTGACTTTTATTAGAAACGCCGACTGGTTCTCGAAGCAGATGAGCTGTTGTGCAAGAAGGAGTGCTGACTGGCCCACCCCATGCGCTGCACTCTCTGCCTTTCCGGCCTTGCCATTTGCGTGCATCTGCACAACAAAGTTTAGACCATGTCATTTGCTTGGCATGTCTTTCATGCGGCTTGGGCGCAGGTCACCGTAAGTACGGCCAAGAATGCTGCGACGCATGAGCCTGCCTGTTGTCAGTCACGCAGCACGAGAATCGGCCGAACAGCGGCATTGCGTCAGATCAGGTCGTTTTGCAACACGTGGGAGGCGAAGGCCGTGTTTTCAGTTTTGTTGCCCTCGCAATGCCGGATCACTTGCACAAGCTGTTTTCCCTGATGTGCTTTCAATGTCCCACGCCTGTTGCTTCCAACGTATGGCTCCCACTCTCGCACGGTTTGCCGGTTGCTCGCCCGCAGACTTGTTCACGCAAAAGCCTGCTTTGGCATTCTCAAGTTCGGTAGATTGACTCTTGGACATTTTGCTTTCTAGTCACCACGTTGCCCAACAAGTGCCCAGCAAGTGTGCAGCACGCGTGACTGCCACATTCAACTTGTTGCTGGAGAGGGTTGGCAGTCCGCTCGTCGTGTTTCTTCGCCTCGCAATATCCAACATGAGTTGATGGGTGCTGGCTTTGGGCAAGCCACGCTCGCTGACCACCACGCTTCAGCTTGCTTGCCGTGCTCTGCGGGCGCAGAGATGCGAAGAGGCTACATGTTTTTTGGATCCGATCAAGCAATTCCCCAAGAGACCACTGCACCGGAGTCTCAAGTCGTTGCTGTCGGTGCCTGGGCTGTGCAAAGTGCAGGTGGCACCTTTCTCGGTGCGAGCATGCGAGTTCTGTTTCGTCTTGGTTAAGTGAGCTGACTTGCCATGTTAGACCCGATGCTTTCAGAGCAGAAGCAAAGTTCAGGCGGCGCCTTGCGCTGTTCAAGCGCTCAAGTTTTGTTTTCGATGTGTTGCTTGAACTCTGCCAAGTTGAACGTGACTTTTACTAGAAACGCCGACTGGTTCTCGAAGCAGATGAGCTGTTGTGCAAGAAGGAGTGCTGACTGGCCCACCCCATGCGCTGCACTCTCTGCCTTTCCGGCCTTGCCATTTGCGTGCATCCGCACCACGAAGTTTAGACCATGTCATTTGCTTGGCATGTCTTTCATGCGGCTTGGGCGCAGGTCACCGTAAGTACGGCCAAGAATGCTGCGACGCATGAGCCTGCCTGTTGTCAGTCACGCAGCACGGGATTCGTGGCATACAAGGGTCAGAGATACTAAGAAGCGGCCGAACAGCGGCATTGTGTCAGATCAGGTCGTTTTGCAACCCGTGGGAGGCGAAGGCCGTGTTTTCAGTTTCGTTGCCCTGGCAATGCCGGATCATTTGCACAAGCTGTTTTCCCTGATGTGCTTTCAATGTCCCACGCCTGTTGCTTCCAACGTATGGTCGCACTCTCGCACGGTTTGCCGGTTGCTCGCTCGCAGACTTGTTCACGCAAAAGCCTGCTTTGGCATTCTCAAGTTCGGTAGATTGACTCTTGGGCAGCAAAGAGTTAGGTGTTTTTTGCTATGTAGTCACCGCGTTGCCCAACAAGTGCCCGGCGAGTGTCCAGCATGCTTGACTGCCACATTCAACTTGTTGCTGGAGAGGGTTGGCAGTCCGCTCGTCGTGTTTCTTCGCCTCGCAATATGCAACATGAGTTGATGGGTGCTGGCTTTGGGCAAGCCACGCTCGCTGACCACCACGCTTCAGCTTGCTTGCCGTGCTCTGCGGGCGCAGAGATGCGAAGAGGCTACATGTTTTTTGGATCCGATCAAGCAAATCCCCAAGAAACCACTGCACCGGAGTCTCAAGTCGTTGCTGTCGGTGCCTGGGCTGTGCAAAGTGCAGGTGGCACCTTTCTCGGTGCGAGCATGCGAGTTCTGTTTCGTCTTGGTTAAGTGAGCTGACTTGCCATGTTAGACCCGATGCTTTCAGAGCAGAAGCAAAGTTCAGGCGGCGCCTTGCGCTGTTCAAGCGCTCAAGTTTTGTTTTCGATGTGTTGCTTGAACTCTGCCAAGTTGAACGTGACTTTTATTAGAAACGCCGATTGGTTTTTGAAGCAGATGAGCTGTTGTGCAAGAAGGAGTGCTGACTGGCCCACCCCATGCGCTGCACGCTCTGCCTTTCCGGCCTTGCCATTTGCGTGCATCCGCACCACGAAGTTTAGACCATGTCATTTGCTTGGCATGTCTTTCATGCGGCTTGGGCGCAGGTCACCGTAAGTACGGCCAAGAATGCTGCGACGCAGGAGCCTGCCTGTTGTCAGTCACGCAGCACGGGATTCGTGGCACGCAAGGGTCAGAGATACTAAGAAGCGGCCGAACAGCGGCATTGTGTCAGATCAGGTCGTTTTGCAACACGTGGGAGGCGAAGGCCGTGTTTTCAGCTTTGTTGCCCTCGCAATGCCGGATCACTTGCACAAGCTGTTTTCCCTGATGTGCTTTCAATGTCCCACGCCTGTTGCTTCCAACGTATGGCTCCCGCTCCCACACGGTTTCAAGGTTGCTCGCCCTCAGACATATATTTGAAGTCGCTGCTGTGTGAGCCGTCAGCTCGAGCTGCAGTGGCTCACAGGGGCACAGTGACGGTGCGTGACCTGTAGCCAACAGTGACGAAATGTTAACTGGCACAATGTGCTGAGCAGAAGTGAGTATCTGGCCTGCATATCAGCGAAAACGTACGCCAGCGCATTTGGCTCTGGTATCCTCAATGCGGGTTGCAGGTCGCTGTTTGCGACGGGGCTTTGTGTTGGGTCACGTCGGGTGTGACACTTGAGTTGTGATTGTTTTTACCCGCTCAAGCAAACATGTCTAGAGCTGGAGACATGAACAAACAAGCTAGAAGAGTTGAATGGTTCTCGAAGCGCGTGGGAAGTTGCGCAAGAAGGCATGCAGACTGACTGGACCACACCATGCGCTGCACCTCCTACCTTTCCGGCCTTTGCGTGCAACCGCACCATAACATTAGAAAAATGCTGTTTGTCACCAGAAGCTAGGCAAAGCACGCTGCGAAGACAGTAAGAAACGGCACCTTTGTTGCCTGGCACGAGCTGTTTACCCTGATGTACTCTCAATGTCCCATGCCTGTTGCTTCCATCGCATGTCTCACGCTCGCGCCCGGTTTGAAGGTTGCTTGCTCGCAGACTGGCTTGCCCTACTTTGCGCGTGCAGATGCTTAGGCTTTGTCGTGCGTGACTGCCCGAAGCGCCCGCTGCACCCGTGTCTCAAGTCGCTGTGTGAGCTGTCAGCTCGAGCGGGAGTGGTTCACCAGACCACAGTGCCGGCGCGTGACGCAGCAAGCAGCGACGCAATGTTGACCACAATGTAATGTGCTGGGCAGTGCCGCCAGAGCATGTAGCTTTGTAGGATCCTCTTTGAGGGTCTGTCCCACGCCTGTTGCTTTGAACGTATGGCTCCCGCTCCCGCCCGGTTTGAAGGTTGCTCGCCCGCAAACCTGCTTGCCCTGCTTTGCGCTGCAGATGCTTAGGGTTTGTCGCGTGTCACCAATGTCCAGAGCGCATGCTGCACCCGTGTTTCAAGTCGCTGTGTGAGCTGAAAGCTCGAGCAGTAGTTGCACCGGGGCACAGTGCCGGCGCGCGACCTGTATCAAGTAGTGATGAACTGTTCACTGGCACAATGTGCTGAGCGGCAGTGGGTATCCGGCCTGCATATCAGCGAAACCGTGCGCCGGCGCATGTAGCTCTGGTAGCCTCAATGCAGGTTGCAGGTAGCTGTTTGCGACGGGTCTTTGTGTTGGCTCTCAAGCAAACATGTCTAGAGCTGGAGACATGAACAAACAAGCTAGAAGAGTCGACTGGTTCTCGAAGCGCAAGAAGGCATGCTGACTGGACCACACCATGCGCTGCACCTCCTACCTTTCCGGCCTTTGCGTGCAACCGCACCATAACATTTAAAACATGCTGTTTGTCACCAGAAGCTAGGCAAAGTACGCTGCGAAGATAGTAAGAAACGGCATCTTGGTTGCCTGGCACAAGCTGTTTACCCTGATGTGCTTTCAATGTCCCACGCCTGTTGCTTCCATCGCATGTCTCACGCTCGCGCCCGGTTTGAAGGCTGCTTGCCCGCAGACTGGCTTGCCCTACTTTGCGCGTGCAGATGCTTAGGCTTTGTCGTGCGTGTCTGCCCGAAGCGCCAGCGCCCGAGTCTCAAGTCGCTGTGTGAGCTGTCAGCTCGAGCGGGAGTGGTTCACCAGACCACAGTACCAGCGCGTGACCTGTAGCATGCAGTGACACAATGTTGACCGCAACGCTGGGCATGGATGCAGGTATCCGGCTTGATCAGCCACACATGCCAGAGCATTTAGCTTGGGTTTATGCTCGATGCGGCTTGCAGGCGACGCACAAGCACCCCCGTCCGTGCCTTGGAAGGTCTGCCACCTCCACATGGTCGCCCTGAGCCTGCGAAGTTTAGCAGATCCGGCACTGTCGTTACCGTCGTTACCACCTCCGCGTGCCAGGGAGAGGAGTGGCGCCCTTGGCGGCGTGGCGCGACATGCGCTTCCCGAGTGGAAGTGGGGCGGTTGCGTTTCGAGCCACCCCATGGACTACCTGGATGGGTGGTGATGAGGCTGGCCGGAGGATGACTTTTTCCCGTCGCAAGTTGTTTGTGTAGCAAACTAGTTTCGGCAGGAGACAGCCCCGCCAGTCATACATATGAGGCTGAGGCGGCAACTTTCTTTGACTGCCATTTTCGAAGGTGATGTGGTCTACCTAGCTCATTGCCTTCCAAAACAAGCCCCATGCAGTAAATGCTGCGGAAGCTGCGCGGCTTGAATGTCCATATCACGACATAGTGTCCTTAGAACGTTGGTCACCGCCAGGAACGAAAATCATCCTTTTCCATTTGCCCCACCAAACAAAATGTAAACGGCGCATCCCCGCCCCCAGGCACGGTAGGGGGGAGTTGCTGTATTGGAGCGCATCGGTGAAAGATTCCAAAGTCTATCGGGAAAAGACGTCAGAAGTTGATGCGAGTCTTTGCCTTTCCAGCGGGTGCGTAGAGAGCCGTGTGATGCGCCTGTGATCGGCGTTCCCGCTGCGTAGTAGTGTTTGCAACTGCCACCAAACCTCAGAGCAGCACAGCGCCGCCCTGATGCCCACGGCCGCGACATGTGCGCTATTCTGACTAAAGGCCCAGAATGCTCAGAGCAACACGATGCAATTCTTGAACAGCTTTCCGGGCTTTCTACTCGAGTCTCTGCAGGCAGGTGGGACATTTCACCCTAGTATTTTGAGCGTGCAAGCGGCAAAAGGAGCGTGCTAGTGTTGCCCAGCATGGTATCAGGGGACAGCAAGACGTTCAAGTGAAGCTGAGTCGCGAAGCACACATGGCCGCGTGTGTGTGTGTGTGTGTGTGTGTGTGTGTGTGGACCCTCTTGGCCATAGAGGCAGGGAGTCACTTCTTTCGGAGGCTGTGACGGAAGCAGCAAGGCTGGTTGCCCACACAAGTACCAGCCCAACGAAGAGGCGTGCGCGTGCCGCTGATATCAGTGAGGACGCTCACTGACGTACCTGCATCAACCTTTTTCCCTTTTGTCATTGCTGAGTGCATGTGCGCCTTGTCCGGCTTGAACCGAGCGTGTCGTGTTTGCGAGGACCCCTCAAACGTTCAGCTGCTCCGCGTGTGTCTGAGAAGAGTGTGATCTGCTTAGCACGTCCGTCAAGGCGCCAAGTGTGGCAGGAGCGAGCTTAGGGACTGGGGCATGTCGGTGAAGGCTTATTTCCTTTGCCTTGGTTGTTATGGGGGCTTCGCGTCTCACCTGAAGATCTGTCTAGACTGCAAGGTCCTCCTTCGCGCAGGTCTATCAGGTTCCAGCGCACGCTCCTTTCCTTGCATCCTCCCGCTTTGTACATCTTTGTACGCATCTAGAAATGTTTGCGCACGCTGGTACAAACTTGTAACATACCTGCACATACTCGTACATAGCCTACATAGCTGCACATGTTCGCGCGTGGCCACGTATTTGTACATGTACATAACTGTACACAGCCTTCTGTAAAGTTTAGGCTTCCAACGCTGCACAGAAAACCTTGTACAGTTTCACAGCCTAGCCGTGCAGCCATTTCCACAGTCTGTTGTACAATCCACTGCACACAGCCGGCTGTGTGTGTGGACCCTCTCAGTCCATCCAGGAGGCTGATGGAAGCAGGGGGGCTGGTTGCCCGCTGATATCAGCGAGGACGCTCACAAGTGGCTGAGATGTGTGTGCATGTGTCTCTGTCTGCGTCTGCGTTTGCGTTTGCGTCTGCGTCTGCGTCTGCGTCTGCGTCTGCGTCTGCGTCTGTGTCTGTGTCTGTGTCTGTGTCTGTTTTTTGTGAAGGTACCCTTTGTTGGGTTGAAAGAAGCGATGCTAAGACCAGCTTGATTGTGTCGGGAGTCCGCTATTTTCACTCACACGCACCCACATGTTGGGTCGCCTTATTTGAATGGGCAACCAGGCGCAGCGCTTATGCACTGCGGTCTCGATACACCTTCGGGCGGTCACCTTGCATTTGTTTTGCCGCTCTTGCTGGACGCATGGCTTACAGCCCGAGGACCTGGGGAACCCGCCCAAGCTGATCCAAGCTGAGTCAACTGCATTCCGAGCTGTTTCTTTTCGCTGCCCATTTCAGCCCCTAGAGCTGCACGAAGCCCACCTCGTGAGGTCCCATGGACAGACTTGGCATGGCGCCAGACCAGGTGGAAGCGTGTGATTTGAGAATAAAGGCAGACGGCTGGATTCATCCCAGGCAAAAAGTACACATCCTGGATTTCATCCAGTGTGCCTGGCGCCATGTGGCGGCAGCGCCAGCATTGACCTCCTGATATGGTGGAGGGGAGGGCGGGCGAGGGGGGCTGGGCATGGGGGCGTGATTTTCTTGCGCTGATGTTCTGTTTTAATACTCGTCCAATCATTGAGTCCAATCAGAGCTTTTCTCCCGAACAGAGCGCATCACAGCATTTACAACATGTTTGGCATTACGAGGGCGTGCCAGCTCAACAAGTGGGGATGTGTACTAGGCTGTTGAGAATGGCTGAGCCAGCTTGATTTGTCCTACCCGTTTTCATTGTGTTCGCACGCCCTGGAAACGCTGCACTGATCTCTGCGAGGACCTCACCGGGGAATTCCGACGTCTCGCCGGGGTGCAAGGCTGGCAAGGGGGGTAGCGACCATGTGCTCGTTTTGGGAAGGCATGGGGACAAGATGGCAGGGGATTTGCTACCCTACCACCTCGGAATTCGATCCCTTCAGAAATTCAAGTTGATTGGAAAAGGGAGAGGCGAAGATTCGCATTCATGGTACACAGCATCTCAAAGCACAAACGTTAGCCTTTTGCGTTTGTCGTTCGTTGTTGGTCTGTACTTTTGCGCAAGTGCTCTTTGTGGTCGACTCGTCCGGCTGGCAGAATCTAAGACCCAGGCATCCTGAGAGTTCATGGTTTGGATGAAGGATGCCGTTGCCCATTGCAAGAAACTGCGAAGCAGTATGGATGACCACATTCCTTGCCAAGGATTTGACATCCATACCTGAACATATTCCTACTGGCGTTTCTCGGCTTGGGCTGTTATTTCTGTTTGCCGGCATTGATGTCCCTCCCAGGCGGGGTCAGTACAAGGTCAATCAGAGCAGATACCGGCGGCGTGTGGGGACAGGTTCTCCTCCAAATTGTTGTCATGTGTTGCATTTTAGGGTAGACACAAAATGAGCAGGACTCAATATTTTCGTGTGTATGAATGTTGGATGTATTCCATTCATGTTTTTGGTGGTACTGGCTCTTTTGGGGAGTCCTCCTCCTCTTTTGTGGGAACAGGTCTTTCAATGCACCATGACTACCAGCAACTCGGGCACCCGAGACAAAAACAAAAAAACACGCGCCAGGCATTTCGGCTCCTGCGCCGGGCGGCTTCATACGCCGTGCCCAGGTGGGGTGGCAAGGGGTGGCAAGGGGAGTCCTCCAGGCAGATTTGTTTTGTTTTGGCTTCGGGGGAAAAGGGGAAGGGGGAGGGGGGGATCTTGAGAGGGCAGGGAAAAGCAGATCTTAGGGGGGGGAAGGGGGGAAGGGGGGAACAGATCTTAGGGGGGAAGGGGGGAACAGATCTTAGGAGAAGCCCTTGCAAATCCGGGTGCCTTACTTCAGGCCCGCAGAACTTGCAGGCGAGTCGAGGTCTGCCTGCACCTGCCTTTGTTTTCTGGCCAGTTTTGCTCCTTGTGTCCGGTTGACCCGCTTTCCGTGACCACAGATTCTGCCGCCGAGAGCACGGGGAAATTCTTGGTTGGCGCCTGTCGTGCGGCATCTTCAGAACACACCTCTGAATGTGCGCATTGGCCAGGCGGAGAAGGGCCGGCTGCGGGCTCTAAGGGACTTGCGGGACAGGCGCGGCACTCCTGGTGTCAAAATAGGGGGGGTCACAGAAACGGAGTTCGGTGTTCGTTTTGGCGTCCCTTTCGAAGCTGGGAGTTTCAGCCCACAACGGACCATGTCTTTCCGCCATGAAGGTGAGCTTGGGACAGCGGTCGATCAGATGTTGCATGTTTGCCTCTGATGATTAGGGCGGCCAACCGGGCAGGTGGTTGTTTGTTGGAGCTCAGACGGGAATGAGAAATGGAACGAACCTGGGGATTCCCTGAAAGGACACCACCAGGGATGGTTGGGTCATTCCCCCGCAAGTTGTTGGCTTTGGACACCCATCCAGGAGGTAGCAAGGGATCCATGTGGATGGTTTGTAGGGGTCATTCCCCCCGCAAGTTGTTGGCTTTGGACACCCATCCAGGAGGTAGCAAGTTGGATCCATGTTAGGGCGGCGACGGCGGAGATCAACCAGATCCAGGCGCAAAGCTCAGGGGTTTGGATTGGAACTTTCGATGGCCCAAGCCGCGGTTTCCGGCGGGGTCCTTGGCACATCTCGTGGGTGCGCTCGCAAGTCTCCCACTGGATGCCTGAGGGTGGACCTTCTTTCGCTTCTCTCAGGGCGAAAGGAGCGTTGCTTTGAGCCCTGAACACATGTTTGTGGCTCCGCATCCCTAGTTTGACATGCCCATGTTGGAGTCAACGCCAAGTTCCGCTTGAAAGTCAGTCAGTCATGGAGAGGCACGAGACGCATCCCGAGGACTCGGTAAAGGTTGCTTTCCTCTGTGACGTGCTGACGTGCTGACGTGCTGACCTGTTGCACATGTTGGGAGCTTTGTAGAGATGGCCGCGCGCCTTTGATACAAAAACAAAAGGACCTTGGGTGGTTTTTTTTGGCGTGGTTCTACGCAGATCGGAAGAAGTTACGAGCTCACCCATGAAGGTGCTTTGCTGGGGGGTTCGCCTGTTTCCGACTTGGGAGTCGTTTGCCCATGGTCAACGTGCCAAGGCTAGGGGTTGGTATGGTCGTCGTCTTTGACCGGGTAGGAATCCTGAGTCGTGATCCCAGAAAGTTGGGAGGGGATGCTGGACATGCGGCCAAGCCCCGCGGCTTTGTCCGCGTCTTCCAACCTTTCGGGTCGGATTTCGAAGTTCGGATTCAGGCCAGCGTCGGGGAGCTGGAGTCGATGGTGGAGGAGTGGAGAAGTCTTTGCCCAAAGCTGGGAGGGTTCAGCCCGAAGGGTTTTCCTCTGTGTCCCTTGAAACCGACCCTAAATTGCATATTTGACGTGGGTGTCTGTCTTATGGGGCGATATTTCAAGATGACATTTAGGGCTTGGAGGGATTTTGTTCCAACCTGTTCCAACCAACTCAATTGGCATCCTCTGCTGTGAGTCACCCTCACCAGGACCTGAGCGACCTGCCAATGGCGCCCGGGCAGGACAGAGACCAGGCATGCACTCGGACAGACTCGGAGTGTAAGCTTGATTCTTGAACCCCAGCTGCCCTGTGGCGCCCTTCTATCTTTCTTTTTTTGGGGGGATTTTTCTGGGACGGGTGCCTCTTTAAACTGAACCAACCAAGAAAGGATGCCGATTCTCTTCTTCCCATGGACTTCCACGGGGCATCTGAGGAACGAAAGCCTGAGCCACGGGTTCGCGAAGGAAACCCACGGAGAGATGCCTCGCCGCTCCCCTGAAAACCCAAGACTTCCAAAACAACAGATCAACAGGCAGATTCCTTTGGGTGAGTGATGAATGCGCAAAAGCTGCCCACTGCCCAGCCAGCTCCATAGTTCTGGCCATTCGAAGTGGGCTGCCTTTGGTCTTCGAACGAACGAGTTGCATGGCCAACACGTTTTCGTGAGCTTGCATGTTGGTGGGCAAGGCGTTGTTTCCCGCTGAAGCCCCGAACCAAATGCTGTGTTGTTGATTTTGTTGGGTTGGCAAGCAGAAACAGAAATCCAAGATGATAGTTCACCAAAGAGTTCAACCACTTAAAAATCATAACTTGGGTCTGTGCGTTCCCTTTTCACTTTTGTTGTTGTTCTAAAGGGACGCTTAAGCTCATGAGTAAGAGGACTCCACCAACTTTGAGAAAGTTTCTGTATGGAGACGACCCCATTGGGTCAGCCGCATATGTCATAAGATTCAACCCTCCCTAGGATGTGAGAAGGGGGGAGGTCTGTGAATCCAACGTCGAGGTGGCCCACCGCCGGGGCGTGGTGGCAGCTTTGTACGAGGATCGGCTCGGAGGTGTCGAGTGGCTTTGGTTTGTTTTGACAAAGTCTGAGATCTTTGCGATGATTTTTGCGTTTGGTTCAGGAAATATGGACCAGAAGTAAAGGCAATGTTTGGTTGGGGGGGGCGGGGGGGGCAAAAGAGGAGGTTTCCGGAGACGGCTATTTTGGGACCTGTTCCAGGTATGAAACTTAATGCTGGAAATGAATGTAAATAATGTCCACCGAATCATCCCTATCCAAGCCTGAGTGCGCGCAGCTTTTTGTGCTGGGGTAGCCGCTTTTTCTGGACTGCTGTCTTAAAGCGTTCGTCCAAGGTTGCATAGCTTCTGGCCATATCACTCGGGAAACCAAAAGGATGCGAACCACCTTAAGGGCAGTGGACTGGGGTGAGCAGCCCCCGGCCGACAAGATGGTCTGGAGATCAACCCGCAGAAGGTATCAGACAACCAAACGGTTCCCAGGAAGGGAGGCATACCACGGCCCATTCTTGGGGCATGGCCGTTGACTTGGGGATGCACTTATTTGGCAGTGGGTGAAAACCAATGGTACCATTTTGGGGTAGGTGAATTCACCACCCATTATAGAACCTTTTTTAGCGGGGATTGGGATGCTCACTGGGGGTATGGCTTTTGACCTATGGCCATTTGGACTGAGGATCACCAAAGCTGCCACTTGGGGGGGTGACTTTTCAAACAATGAGGCCAGTTTTGACCATGGCCGTCACTTGGGGACGCGCTTATTTTTTCAGCTTGTGACTTGTTTGTTGGTCTCCCCGTTTTGGGCAAACAATTTGCTTGCCCGGCTAGGAGCTGCGAAGTCTGGCAGCCAAGGTCCAGGGAGAGCAGGCGTGGGGGGTCGTATTTTTTGCGCATAGCTCCAAAGACCTCTAATAGCTAGGTTTGGGGTCCCTAGGGCCCTGTTGGTTTCACTTTAGGTCTTTGAGCTGTCTTTTGGGATTTGGGTCTTCAAAGTCACCGGCTCGAGTGCTCACATGCGGCATCTCGAGTCGCCTGAACTTGTCAAAGCCCCCGGCCACCAGGCCACCAGAACCACCAGGGCCACCAGGGCCACCAGGGGCGACCATGAGCTGCGGAGCCTTTTCGACTGATCAATGCGCGAACCCCCAATATCAAATAACGAATCACATTCTCAGAAAACATAATATGAATAGTATGCATGTGCCTGCCTGTTTCATCCATGCGTTGTCCTTCCGAGCTGTCTAGCACAGTGGGCTTCACGGGTGAAGACTATGCAGCCTGCGCGATCGCAGTCATTGTCTTGGTCTTTGCGTCCCGCGCTGCTGAAGCTGCTGAAGATGCAAGTGAACTTCTCCTTTTCAATGAAGGTGTACTTTGCTGGGTGTGGGTCAAAATTAAAGAGCTAGGGTTACGCGGGTTTTAGTCTTTGGTTCCATTTACCAAGGTGCCATGTTTGTACATTTATTTGAGCCACAGCCTGCTGAAGCTTTCGCAGGAGCAGCCCTACTAGTGCAATACGTGACATGGTCTGGCAACTCGACGACTACTTTTACTTTGATCTACGTGTGCAAAGTGCAAAGTGCAAGACCCCCTTTGAGATGCCAGAGTTTGCATTTGTTGGCCGAGTCTCTTGATCCATCATTGGTGGCAACCTTGGTGACCATGCAAGCATCGCCTTCAACTTGTCAGAATTCTTTCACTCTTGGTTGGCTCCATTTCTGGTGGATTACTTTTCGTCCTGCTCCGAGCAGCACCAGAAGTTTTCTTGCAGTTTTGACGCGTATACAGTGATTGCTTTTGGCCTTGCTTCAGTCAGCTTGCGCTTTTTCTTTTCTGATCTCTCAATCGACCCGGATCTACACACATCAAGATATATCCACCTGTCAGGGATGACGGCTTGCCACCCCACGTCGCAAATTGTTACACGGCTTCTGCCAAGGCAGCTGCAGAATCAAGGAAAACTGAACAGTGCTCATTCCAAAGATACCCTCCCACCAATAAACATGGATGCTGACCAGGGGTCCACCAAGACCAATCTATCCTGTTAAAGCGACCCCCTGTCAGGTTCCATGTCAATGGGTGGGGTAAGAATTTTGGCACATGCAGCAGTGCTGAATTTTCCTCCCCGAAGCCCAACGGCCTAAGCTGTAGGTGAGCGAGCTGCAGCACGAAGCAGAGGCCAGCTGCAAGACTGGGCCCCGTGCGCTTCGACGTGGCCAGGGTTAAAACCAAATTTGCTCATGGCCACATCTGGGTGTTTTTTTTTTCTCCCTAAATAACGATGGCGGTGTCCTTTTGGTTTGCCTTTAAAACACACACCGAACCAGGGATACCACCAAAAAAAGGACAGACCCATATGCCTGTGGCTCAAAATTAAATTGCTGGGGTTACGCAGGTTTTGGTCCATGTTTCCATTTACCAGGGTTCCATTTCGGTACCGGTTTCTTGAGCCACAGCCATATATTCCACATGTTTTCTTGGCCGCAGGCTTTAGCCATGCGTTGCGGGGGCTTGAGAGCAATGTGGGCGAGGCTTACGAAGGTTTGGCATTGAGAAATCCGCGGTGTCTCGTCTTGGCTTCTGGTAAACGGGTGGCATGGGTGGCCACCATCCATTTCCAAAGATGAGACACAGCCGCAAATGACCTCTTTTTTTTTATCTATCAGGTTGCTTGGGGTGAACCCGGATCAGTTTGCGTTCTTCAGATTCGTTCGTGATCAAACAAATATGATTTTAACAGCATATGGACCGGACCACCCAGCAACTTTTGGCCCCCGAAGCAGAGAGGAGGAGGTGCAACCACCTTGTTGGAGACAGAAAGAAATCGAAGCAGCCCAGTTCTGACCATAGAAAGCAGGTGGCCTGTGGCTGATTTTGTGGGGTTCTGTCCCTTTTGGGTTTCGAGTGCCGGGAGGGCAGCAAAATCTTTGCTCTTGGCCATGCCAAGAGGGATGGCCACAGCGAAGCTGTGGCCGCACATCGGGCAGACGATGGGGCACGATGATTGAGTGGCGAGGGGACAGACTTTGCATCACCAGCAGCTGGGATTTGCAGGCAGAAGGTGTCATGTGGCCCCGAGCAATGGTTGATGGGGGGCTCCGGGTGCATCATTTTCTGGCTTTTTGGCTGCAAACCCCAGGCCCGCCAGCATCTTCAGGGTCCAGCCAGAGTCAACGGCGCATGCGTCACTCTTTGAACGCCCCGAACCGCTGTGAAGCGCGATGCAGTGCACCAAGATCGCCACAGCCTCGACACCTGCAGGAACCGGAATTGAACCGAGGGAAATGTGTGCACGCCCCGCGGCCCCGCGGCCCCGGTCCTGTCCCGCAAAATCGACTGGAAACAGCGAACCTACCAAACATGGATGGTGTCAATGTTTTCCTTTCCTGGAACAACCAACCCAAACCTTGTCCTGGCATTTGTTGAAAGCAACAACATCTTCAACCTGTCTGGGCAAGTTGCGCTTGCTATGCGTGGTGTCTGTGTCTGTGTCGGTGTCTGTGTCTGTGTCTGTTTGTGCGTGTGTGCGAGTATGTGTTACATGGGGACTCAAATTTGGAGTGAACAACCCAGTAGTTTGTACAAGTCAGCCTTGTTTGGCGCTTGAGGTATAGGACAAAGGTTTGCACAAGCGCATTTGACCGTGGGCTTTCCCCTGTGTTCAAGCACTGTGTTTTTTGAGGGCTTACCCATGGTTCCAAACTGACCCCCAACTGTCCAGTTATCTTATGATCATAACTTCATTTAGGTGTGGCTCAAAATTGTGGCTCAAAGTGGGAAGGTGTGGCTCAACATGGCTTCATTTGGCTTCATTTGAATCTTAGTGGCTCAAAATGGGGATTGCCGCGGGTTTAAAAGCCTTGGTTTCCATCAAGGCGCCCTTTTAACCAGTCGTTGAGCCACGGCCATTTGGCTGTGGGTCAAAAATAGGTACCCAAAATGGAACCCTGGTAAATAGAACCAAAGACTAAAACCTGCGGTCCCCTGATGACTTGATTTTGACCCACACCCATTTGGTTTTAAGCACCGCCCCGTGCCCCTTGCGCGCAGCCGGTCAGGTGGCCGGCTACTTCATGGCCGCCGCCCCACGGCGGCCTGTGAAGCCCCCGCCGGACACCTCAAACACGGTGGATGTTGCTTGGAGTTGTTAGGTGATTTGGAGGCGTTATTGTTTTGGTTTTGGTTATTACGTGTTTTTGCAAATGGCCCATGGGTCAAAACCCCGGTTAGCCCCCAGTGAACATCCCAATCCCCACTGAAATAAACTAAAATAGAGGTGCACCTGCCCAAAATGGCACCATCGGTTTCGACCCACAGCCATATTAAAACTGTACACATACATATATGCAACTTGGAAGGGAGCTGGACACGTGGCACTACATGATTTGCACACCAATACTGTACATACCAGTGCTTGGTAACATACTCTGGGTCATTCTGCTTGCTTGCATGCAGACACTTCAAAACACGCCATATTTGTGAAACAGCATGTGTTTGGAAAGCTGTTTGCTGTCTGCAAGAGGTGTTTGCAGTCAACGTTCAGCGAGCGACCTGAAGCAGAGAGCTGCCTTTCACAACTCACAGCACTAGCAGCTGCTCGGAGGAACATGTTGGCAGTCTCGGTGTGTTCGGCTGGCAGCGCAAACCGGGACTCTTGCAGCAGAACATACTGAGAGGCCCCGAAATTTCATCTTCCTGATATCGGAAATTAAGGACCCTATCCAAGCTAGAAACCTCTTCGTGGGTCTACAAAAGGTTGCCGGCATGACATCAGCTATTTGGGGACCCATGAAACCTTCCTCGCATGGCTGTGTGTGTGTGTCGAAATAGGCGACCCCAAAAATGGTGGCCTTCCCTTTAAAACCACCCAAACCCTCAAAAAGCACACCCTACATGAGCGAAGCACCTCCAAAGCAGACGCTTGGCCAACGGCAAATGCGCTTGCCCGAGGCCGAGTGCTGCAATGGAGGATCTCAGAGTGTCCAAAGCTCAGCTTTGGGGGTTTGGACCTCAGGATGTCATGTTACATGCTTTTAAGGAATCACTCAATCCGAGTCGTACCTCATCTGTTGGTTCAAAGAAAACAACTGTGTAACAAGGTTCACAAATCATTATTTCCAAAATCTAAACGCGCCAATTTTTAAGGGGTCAGCAGCAGTTGTAGATGTGCACCGTGCCCGCTTCCCTCTTTGCTACAGCTGCCCAATTTCAGCACACTCCCAGGTGTTGTTTGAAGGGCCGCATGAATTGTGTTATACGAATTACAGCTTGACCTGGACCTGGTAGAGCCTGATCTTGTATGCCCGGAGACGTGTATTTTGGCACCTGCGACGTTTTGGCTGTGAAATGTGTGCTCCCTTTCAGCTGTCGCTTTTCAGTTGACTCGGGTAGGGATCAGCCTTGATGGACGGCCAGGATGGGGAAGTGAGCTGTGTGATGAGGGTGCTTCCCAGACATCCAAACAAGACGGTTTGAGTGACCCTTGCCAACACTGGTGTGCAAACTTAGCGTGGTTTGCTTCCGCAGTAAGTAACTGCTTTGAGAAGTATGCTAAGCTCTGGACAAGACAGCCTATTCTCGGAGCGTTTACCCGCGGTTTTCGTAGCCACTGGTTGAACCTTTCAGTGTCCTGTATAAAGCAATTGACCAAGTGACTGGTTAGTTTATTGTTACTTCAGGGAGGACCTGGACCCACCCCAATTTCCCATGTGACGGATGGATGTGTGTTTTTCTTGGGGGACCCTTGGACATCTAGGTGGGGATTTATTTTTCTCCAACCACGTTTGAGGTGGTTCCCTGTGCAACTTCATAGACAAATGGGGAAAAACACACAGATGGTTTCTCCTTGCCTCTATGGACTGAAATGGGGGGTGGGAATCCCTTTGTCTTGTGGAGTTTGTAGCGCAGTCGGCTCTCATGTTGAGCTGAGGCCTGACACTCTTGGTGGGCTGCTGCCTGAAGGGGAAATCGGGTAGAGGAGATCGGGGAGGGGAGCCGTGCGGGTTTGTGCGTGTGCGTGCGTGCGTGCGTGCGTGTGCGTGCGTGCGTGCGTGCGGGCGGGCGGGCGGGCGTGCGTGCGTGCGTGCGTGCGTGGGTGTGTGTGTGTGTGTGAACCGTCCTGGAACGCGGACGTTAAACCCTTCGGAGCTTTTTTTGAGCAGGGGGCCAGCGGCCATCAAGCAAACGCTGGCCAATGAAGCTATGCTTGATGGTGGATGCACGGATTGATCACCCGTGTGTACCTGCCTTTCCTTCTCTTTTCCTGACTGTTTTTTCTGACTGTTTTTTCTGTCCTGTTCACTGTTGCTTCCTGGTTTCTGTTCTGCATTGCGACCTGTCAAGCAATTTCAGCAGTTGCAGGTTTTTCCAGCGTTTTCATCTCGGCTAGTGAAGCCTCTCGAGATAAGTGTGTATACCCACGGCCTGTCCGACATGGCGCCGTGGGCTGGACTCGCCATATGCGGGAGCCCCCTGCGAGGGGAAGACCGTTCAAGTGTTCAAATTCAAGCTGCAGTTCAGTTCAGCGCGATTGACCATGATCAAGGCAGCGAATTTGCAGGTGAGGTACCATTCGCAAGGCAGCTCTCATCAGGTATCAGGCTCTGACAGCTTCATTTGCATTGCACTGCCTGCAATTTGAACAAGGCAGCTCTCACGAGGTATCAGGCTTCGGCAGCTTCATGCGCGAGTGACAAGTCGGTCAGACACCGACTTTGCAGTTCATCGGTTCACGCTTTGCACCGACTCAGATCAGTTCAATTCACGTTCACGTTCATGCGATGTTTTTGATTTCCTTTGATTTGCTTTGTTTTCACTTGACGCCTTTGATTTGCTTTGTTTTGACCTGATGCCTTTGATTTGCTTTGTTCTGACTTGATGTGATACCTTGTTTTGACATGAATTGGATCGACAAGGCAGCACTTTTGAGGTCCAGGTCTTGACTGAATCATGAATTGGATTGACAAGGCAGCATTTTCAAGGTCCAGGTCTTGACTGAATCAAGCCGTAGTCGTTTTTGTTTCCCCTTTTCCAACCCTCTCTCTCCCTTTTGAGATGGCTGGACACCAGCTCTATGACATGATGCATTCGCGCCTGCAAAGCATCGCGACCGGCACCATGTCCGGCACAGCAGGCAGTGCTGGGCCGAATCTACAGCTGTCACCCCAGATGATGCAGCCCACGAGCCCAGTGCCTTCGCCCTCCCAAAGGCCACGACCTTGGTACCGTTTTCCATGGTGCCCTATGGTGACCTTCCGAACTTTGGCAACCCGATGTCCATGTTGCCTCATGGCGGCCTTCCGAACTTTGGAAACGCGACATCCGGCACCCTGATGCCCTTCACGGCTCAGAGCAGCATGACATCTTCGTTGCCCGAGCCTCAGTCGGCCCGCGCCGCCGCTGCAGCTGCTACGACTCCCGCAGCCGCTTCCTCGACCAACCCGACTCCCACTGACACCCAACCCGCGCCCCACTACCGCGGATCCCGTTCCTGCCGCAGACGGCGCCGCCACTCACACTCCCGCACCAGTCACCACCGGGCACATGACAAGTCGCCACGGCGACGCACCACGCGGCGAGCACGCCACTCCAGCCGGTCAACTTCCCCCTCACACCCCCGCCACCGTTCCAGGAGATCTCGCCACACCCCCATTTCCCCCGCCCACGCTCCCCTCGGCGCAGGTCCCCCCAACGACATTCCCCTGCGCCCAGGACCAAGGACCCGCAGCGAGCTCCGGACACCCACGCCTCCCACGGCTCCACTTCCTGGCACTCTTCCGGATGGGACACCGACAAGTCTCAAAAGTCCTCCTCACACCGGCGGAAGATCGCACCACAAGGCCACAGCACACACAGCTGGGGCAAGCACAGCCACAGCACCAGCAACACAGGCAACTGGAGCAATCAGGGCAAGCTACAGTCCTGGCAACAGCAGCAGTCATGGCAGCAGCCGCGCTCCTCATCCTGAGCCGGCCGCAACAACTCCCAACCCGGCTCCTTCCGCACCCCTTGGATGGCAGTGGCTCGATCTATGGCGAAGCGTCATGGACACAACCAAGACTGATCCACTGCAAATTCCAACACCTAGGGAGTTGGGGGAGCTGGACCCGCTCCCAGCCTTGGACCATGGAACGAACCAAGGACCCTGCCTTGCCACCTTTGCATACAGACCTCCGAGTGCTGGGAACTGCGCACCATGGACATGACCGACCCCATTCCATTTGAAGCCAGCTTCTACCACCTCCTTGGACGAGAATCGCAAGGCATGGTGTTCGCAACTTCTTGTTTCCCCCGACCACATCCGTGGCCGGTCGCTGGCGGGGGCCCGGAAACCGGGTCCGGCATCGCTTCCCACCATGCTGTCATGTTTGTGCACGGCGCAACCCCAGATCGGGTGCGCCGCATGTCCTACGAGAACCAGATCCGGCCTGCTGCATGGAGGCCTGGGAACCATGACTATCCGAGCTTTGGATGCTATGCTCAGGCCACTCTCACGGCCTGCAACCCCGACACGTTAAGCCAGCTTTTGCAGAACTTCACCATTGGAAAGTCTCAGCTTGGGGACATCGCTTTTGGGGAACTGCGCTCTGTCAATCAACACAAGATCTTGGAGTCCGGGGGAAGCCACGAGGACCAGCGCAACGCATGGCGACACTTTGCGTGTTGCCGAGGCAAGGAATGGTGCCTTCACTCCGGGTATGCCATGCCGGGAAGCATCGCGCTGCAGCGCCCGGCCTAGCAGGGTGCGGACCGTAACGTATTCCATGTGACCAGGGGAAGGACTGATGCGCGGTTTGTTCGCTTTGTTGTTTTTGTGTGATTGTTTTTTCCCCGTTCGACCCTTCCTTTTGGTCCTCTTTTGCAGGCCTTCGGTTCGAACGTGGTCCCCTTTTCCTCCTGCATTCTCATGGCTTTCCAACCCCCTCGGGGCTTGTTACCGAAGCTCCAAAGGCAGAACTATCCCCAGCAGCCTTCGCCCGCTGCAACCAACCACCACGGTGGCATGTACGGCAACACTATGGCCGGAGCCGCGGAGCCCCGTCGGGACCTTCCTACGGATGCTCCTCTACGACCTCATCACCTACTACATCCCCAACCCCCTGCCAACTCCACGGCCAGTCTACTTCCAACTTCCAACCCTCCGCGCCACCACCCCTCAGCCCCCGTCCCCCCCTTTCCCCGGCTTTCTCCCCCCTCCTCCCCTCTCCTCCTCCTTTTTTTCCCCCGCTCGCACCACCGACGGCTCCCCTTCCACCCCGGCCCCCCTTGCCCACAATGGCACCCCGGCGGCTTCTCCCCCCCCCCCGCCCCCCCACCTGGAAGGAGCCTTGCGACTTGCTCCAACCCCCTCCCCACGTTTGCCAATGGCTCACCAGCAACTTCCCACCCGAGACATCCGACACCAAAGTCCAGCGATGGATCACTTCCCAGAAGATGAGCCAAGACAGCAAGCAGGCCCTCAAATGCTGGTCCAACGACTTCGCCAAATGGGCGACCACCTTGGACTCCGACACTAGAGCCCAACTGGAACGAGCCTCCGTGCTATGGGGCGTACCAGTGCGAACCCTGTCCAAACTGGGGTCGTCGGCCCTCGGCCGAATCCTGGCTGCCGCAAGCCACTTCTACCAGTGACTCTCAGCAGCACACCGACAACGACGGACCGCCAAGCAACACAATTTTTGGCAACACCACTGCCGCCAATTTCTCGCTGTCCTCCGCTTCACTCTCAGGTTCTTTCCAACCGACGACATCACCGCACGTCACTTTTGTTCATGGCTACTCGCACAGCTACAGCTACTTGACGTCTGCCATCTCTCGTGTGGCCCTGGCCGACTGAAAGCCCTGCCTGCCCGACTCGGCCTGGATTCCCCCTCTTCTTTTTCTCGTCTCAGCACTTGCACCTCTCTCATGGCTCGGGATCACAGCCGATTCCGAAAACTACTTCAGGTTCAACGACACCACTTGGTCAACGCCGAGTCGGCCGTTCGATGGTGGGCACAATTTGATGTTTTCCACTTTTTCACTTCAGTGCCCATCCACACTGCCGTCGCATCTTTGCTGTTGAGCAGTTCTACATTCAGGAACTTCAACCATCCCTCAATTTTGGCTTCATTGAGAGACATTTTCGGCCACGCACGAGCTTCATACGACAATGGGTTTTTCTCAATCCCGGCACATGGGCTTTGCCACCGTTTGGCGAAAGCGTCGCAGACTACGACTACCCGTCGCTCTGCAACAGGCTTTTCTGGCCAAGCGCATGAACAACCGCCTGGATTTGTGGCGACTTTTGGACGACCTCGGCAGCAACACCCTACATACGGAGCAGGGACTTCCCACACGCTGCCTTGTGCATCCTCCACCGCATCGCCACACACTTGCCTGAACCACACCATCAGGCAAGCATCTCTGCCGTACGGTCCAACCTACGCTTTCGGGGCGTAATTCCACCAGGCCCATCCAGACCGATGCTCGTGCCTTTTTCGCACATCCCACTTTCCGGACTTTGCTTTTAGCCCAACTCCGCGAGTTCGTCAGATCCACCACCCGCAGCGCTCTGCCTTTTCATGTGGCGCAACAACGCATCGTTTTCAAGGCACACCGGATGCTATCCAGTGCCTTGTTTTCACACCTCCAGGCAGCTCAAGCCTGGAGCCTTGGCGAGCTCTCATGCACATGCACCGGCCTCGCTGAACGACACCCATCCCTCCCGAAGCAGTCAGCATGCTCTCTGGCTCGATGCGCAACTCTTTCTTTCCTCCGCGCGGGATTTTGATGAATCGCCTGATTCAGGCTTTCCACCACTGGGCCAGGACCAACAACCTGCCCCTTCTCGATCCATCAGCCCTCTCCACTATTGTCGACTTCCACTTCGACCTACACTTTCCACAAGCTACCCTTGGCATGCAGATCTTTTCTGCCTTCAGGCAAACACGCGGCCCGATATCGATGGGATCCCCCGCATCTCCTGCACTATGCCTGATGGTGATTGCAGTCGTCAAGCAAATCTGGGCCAACACCCATCCTACTTCGGGACCTCGCTCTTTTGAGGACACCCTCCTGCTCCGCTATGTGGACAACAGGCTCGTGGTCGCAACCCCCAAGTGGTTTTCGACTCCGGCAGCCCACATCGTGTGTGATGAACATTTCTACGGAGGAGACATCCTTCTGGAAACAGAGACCGCCCTGGATTTCTCGGGTTTTTCGACTGGACTTTGAGCGCGGCACCATCTCTTTCATCCCTTCGTACGAGAAGCACAACATGCTGTCCATTAAGTCAGCCGCACCAATGCTGCACAAGGAAGCTGGATATCACTCCAGACGTGTGCTGATCAGCCGGGTTTCCTTTCCTGAGTTTCAGAGAGATCACGATCTCGCAGTGTTGATGAAGTTGTACCACCAACACGGTTTCACCTTTCAGGAAGGGGAAAAGCGCCGGCCTTCTCTTTCGCAATTGTTTGCGGCAGGACCCGCTTTTCACTCTTGATTCTCACATGACCTGTTTCCAAGCTGCAGCCGTTTGACACACAATCGTTTGCGACCATGGATCTTGACGCAGCACGCCAGCTGCTCCAAGACTTTGAACTCATCCTCGGCATTGCCCAGCAAGGCATCGCCACCATTCGCGAGTTCACTAAGAGTCCGGACTTCGCGCCTGAAGCCCCATCGACTCTCGCCGTGGAGGACTTAACCAATTCACCGCCAACACCTCTTCTCCCCCCTCCCGAAGATCACGGTGAACAATTTCCCGAAGATCACGGTGAACAATTTCCCGACCATTGGGCTCCACCTCCTCCCCCTGACAAGAAACGAGCTCGTCGCGCTCGTGACACGAACTCCTCACGCTCTATGGCATCCAGGCCTACTCAGGGACAACGCGCACCTTCCCCATCGACCGGGACTGACGCCGCTACTGAGGCTGAATTCGAAACCCCGCAGCCCTGCACTGAGGAGAAGATTGATCTCCTCCGTTCGCTCAAGACCAATACCAAGGCCAAGCATGCATGGTTTGTCATCGCCACGTGGCTATCCCGCACGGTTGAGGATTGCAAGACTCAACGGGCCTTGCACGAATGAGTGCGCCCCGTCCGGGGCCTTGTGTGTGTGAACCGTCCTGGAACACGGACGTTAAACCCTTCGGAGCTTTTTTTGAGCAGGGGGCCAGCGGCCATCAAGCAAACGCTGGCCAATGAAGCTATGCTTGATGGTGGATGCACGGATTGATCACCCGTGTGTACCTGCCTTTCCTTCTCTTTTCCTGACTGTTTTTTCTGACTGTTTTTTCTGTCCTGTTCACTGTTGCTTCCTGGTTTCTGTTCTGCATTGCGACCTGTCAAGCAATTTCAGCAGTTGCAGGTTTTTCCAGCGTTTTCATCTCGGCTAGTGAAGCCTCTCGAGATAAGTGTGTGTGTGTGTGGGTGTGTGGGTGGGTGGGTGGGTGGGTGGGTGGGTGGGTGGGTGGGTGGGTGGGTGGGTGGGTGGGTGGGTGGGTGGGTGGGTGGGTGGGTGGGTGGGTGGGTGGGTGGGTGGGTGGGTGGGTGGGTGGGTGTGTGTGTGCGCCTGCTTAGGTTGACCTCAAAAGAGAAAGCACCATCATGGGGTCTCTCCCCCATTTTGACACACACCCATATTGCCATATTGCCGGTTTAAGTCAGTTTAAAGATCACCTGTTGGATCAATTGTAGGTCGTCCTTTTGGTGTGATGTTTGGGGAAACATGGGGAGCCCTGCCCGGGCCACAATTGGTCAACGCACACACATCATTTAGGTGCTCGAATAGGGGATGATGGGGACATGAGGCATACATTTGGCAAGAGGAAGGGGGGCTGATTCCAGCGGTGGTGGGTCCGCGTAGCAGAGATGCCGTCAAGCAGGTTTAAAGCATCTCCGATAAATCCGAGTCATAGACACAGCCCCACGAATGTAGGGTGCTAGAAGGTCATGAGGATCTTGAGTGAGTGAACCATAAGCATGAACCGAAGCACAACCGCTGCTTCACCACAGCACCACGCTGTGTAGTGTGCCGTACCCAACGGAGCGGACGACGGTGAGGCTGGGCCCAGAAGCCGGGCAAGAAGCAACCCTCGAGCTGTAAATGGGGCAAGCCTTACAAAGGCGAGTAGAAGTACAATCAAATGCGGCAGTAGTTATAGTCCGAAATAGGGGTGCGCTACCTTTGTTTGATTCTTTACATTGTTTTGGGTGTATATATATTTTTGTACGAGGTTTGGATTGTGGCTCATACGGCCGCTATGGTCGTCAGAACACCCCCAAATGCAGGAAACCCACCAAGCGAATAGGGCGCTAAAGGTTGCTCCCATCCGTATTGGGATCAGGGCCCAGCCTTCTGGCCAAACAAAAGCGACCCAGGGACACCTTCAATAGTTTCATCCGCTGCTTTCGTCTGAACTTCATGGTTTGCCTTTGCCACTGTTTGTGGTTGATAAATACGCAGAACCCCACTGGTGTCGGAACCCTTTCATGGGAGGCCGTTCATTCTTAGTGGAAAAGGCAAGCCCTGGTCTGAACCATCCTCATGCGCCTTGCTGTTGTCCGGCCGGTTCCTTTCGGTTCCTGAGGTCGGAGGCGCTGCGGGCTGAGGCCGCTGATTTTGAGAATCTTTGCCAGGTGGAAAGCGCCAAGAGGAACTCTCGAATGGCATGACTTTGCTTTCCGAGGTCGATTGAAGATTGTTGTTGGAAACTAAGATGTCATTTATCTTGAGGGCAAAAGCATTGGTGCACGCAGGTTATGAGTTGGAAGGCAAGCCCCATGATTCCAAAAACAACCCTGACGCAGGGACCTCCTGCCTGGCTTTTTCCGATATCATCCCTTATGCGAATCGGGGCGAGGTCTTCCACGGTGACACTCTTGGGATTCAAATGGGGTGTAGTCTTAACCACATACTCCCCCTGTTTTGCTCGCAGCTTTCGTACAGCACGCTGACCAGGCGCACCCTTTGGGTCAAAACAGGATCCCGATTTCCATCCCCCCGCAGGCAGCGGTTCCGTGTGCTCCTCTAGACTGAGGTTTGCTGGTTTGCCTCGCTTGGGGTCCTTCCAAACATTCCGTTCCCATGTCTGGAGCTTGAGTTTGACTTCTCAGGAGTTGACGCCCCCTCAAGATGTGCTGAGGAAAGTTGCCATGAAGCCGCCCATGTGTGGCTATGTGTGTTTTTTTTTTTTTGTGTGTGTGTGTGTGTGTGTGTTTTTGCTTTGAGGGCACCCTTGGTCGGGATATGATTCGAAGGAAACCGAGCGCGGAACTTCTTGGGGTGTGGCCATGTTGAGGTACCCATGTGCCCATGCCACTGGAAGTCGCGCCCCAAGAAGGGAATGCGAGGAGCAACGGCTCCTGGCAACCTTTACCACGGACCTGGACAAGATACAGGACCGGCGAGTTCTTTCTTCTTTTCTCCTTTTCTCCTTTTCTCCTTGTCTCCTTTTCTCCTTTTCTCCTTTTCTTCTTTTCTTATTTTCTTTTTTTTTGTTTGGGGGGTATAACCGGGGCGGGTCTGAGGTAGTTTTTCTGGGTCTGGGGAGGGGCGGTTGGGGTTCTGAGGCGGACTTGCACTCTAGGGGTCCATCCATAGATGCACCCGTCGATGCCAAACGGGGGGTGGGAATTCGCAATTCTCGGATGTGGAGTTTGACTTGAATTTGTGCTGTTCCGGGAGCCAACCAGGAACTTGGAGACTCGGAGGCAGGCGCCAAGCAGCACACAAACACGTAGCCTGACAAGATGTTGATGGCCAAGATGACCTGACAAGAACTCCTCCACAAAAGAGAGGGGGATCACCATTCACCAAAAGCGTGGTGGGGCAGCAAACCCGTCCGCTCGACTGCAGCCCAGGATGGCTCGTGGCTCGGTTCGCCCTCCCCCCTGACACAGTGATAGGTGCATTGCAGGCAGAAGAACAGTAGAAGGACCTCTGAAGATAGTTCCCTTATCTCCATTCAGGAAATGCTTGGCTGCGCGCGCCCCGCAAAGCGATTGAACGCTTCCAAACGTGTTTTCCGCCTTTGCCCTTTGTCTCGAACCCATGGGCGTTCAGCCCAACGAAAACTTTCCGCACGTCGGCCGCGGCGATCGATCTCCGCAAGGCCGCGTGGCAAAATCCTTTCCCGAGGAGACGCGCGCGAAGATCGAGGAGGTGTCCACCATGGTGGGCTTCTTCGCGACCAAGGCCAACGTGGGGTGGCGGGCCCTGCAAGCGGGGGGGCGGGCATGCTCTCCGGAAAAAATGCGGCGAAGGCGGCGGTTTTTTGTTGGGGGGAAAGAAGAACACATGGTGCTTGGGGCACCCAGGTTAAACAGGAGTCCAATATGGAACCTGGCAAAAAGGGGGGGGGGTCTGGTTTGGTAGGCCATTTTCTCCCGTACCTTGCGTTACTGCGATCTCCTGAAAGATAATCCGACAGCCTGGGCTGAACACCGAACCATCTTTTCTTGGAGGTCCCATCTTCGGAATCTCTTGAGACCGCGCCCATTTGCGTTTTGCTCGCAGGTTGCCGAGCAAACGGAGCAAACTGTCGGGGCCCCAGGCGATTCTGCTAGCTCAAACGAGCGGCTTGCGAGCCCTCTCCACTTTTTTTTTTCCCGGAGGGGTGGGCCCTTTTCGGGTGGGGCACACCTCCCAAGACAAATCCGCCATGGTCGGCTGGCACCGCCTGTCCTTGGTATGTCCCTATCAACGTCTGTGATGGATCCAACCTCAACAAAGGCACCGCGCCTCAAAGACAGAAAGCACACACTCATGGTATGGAGGGGTTTTCTCAAAGTACCGGATATTCCAACCTGCCTGATTTGCTCATCGCAAGGGATGACCCCTTTTCCCAGTAGGATTTGCCGGGGCTGAAATGGAGCTAGACAATTCTACGCAGCACCGCATCCCCAGTATGTGCGTGTGCGTGTGCGTGTGCGTGTGGGTATGGGTGTGCGTGTGTGGTTTTGGAAGGCACGCTGTGTGGGTGGTTTGTCAAGGGAAACCAAAGGGAGAGCCCGTATTTGAGCAAATTTGGGCGTCCGAAACCCTATGTTCACTTGTTGGTGCTTGGCAATGCCGCCAAGTGCCCCCTTGAGCTCATAGAACTCGAAAAACATCCATGCGATCAGCTGCAGCCATGCCAACTCGGAGAAGGCTGGATTTAGCTTGCTGTAGCTTCTACTTGCAAGTTAAGATTTGGTGGCAATTCCGGATTGTGAATTCGGGCAAACACATTGCATTCTCCGTCCCTTGCCCCCCACTGGGGCAGTGAGCTTTCGTTCACCTCCTCAATCCACAAGTTTGTCCATTCACTAGAAGGGGGATGCAGTGAACAAACAGTCCCAAGCATGTGTAAGTTCATTTGGATGTGAGTCAACAGTTGGGCTTTGCGTAGGAAGCAAAGGGCATCCGGCCGATCCAACGCGTTGCGGACCCGCGAAGAGCTCTTGCAGTTGAAAGATCGCTTTTGAGACGGGTTGCTGCAGGAAACATAGGCGCTTGGTATGTCGACACCATGTTGGTATCCCTTTTGCAGACCCGCGGTTGACCAGGCAACAACTGGGTATGTTTCTCTCCGTCTCTACGTTTTCACGTGACGGTTTCCGCTGGTTACAGGACTAGGCTTGACTAGACATTGTCATTCTGTTTCAAGCTTCAAGGAGAATATCCCGTGACGAGGCCAGCTCCCCTGGCTTCATAGCACTCAGCACTGGGAGAGGTCTCCAGAGCCAGCCCGGCCAGGATGAGATTCTGGAGCTCACGGAGGAAAGCCGGGCCCTCGGGCGGCCAGGGTCGCCGGGTCGCCGGGTCCTTCGGCGCTGCGGCTAAGGGGGGAGCTTTTTCCAGGAACCCACGGCACATCAAACTTACACGTAAACTAAGCTTGACATTTGACTGGTGAAGGTATGATGTGACATGAAGCCGCCGGCACTTGTGAGTACGGGTTGCTTTGATTTGCAGGGCGTAACTTGATGAAGCGGGCACAGCCAACTATTGATCTTGCCATTGATCTTGCTCGATGCACGCTCGAAAAGAATGGGTACGCAAACCAAAGTACTGATCAAAGGATTTGTCGAACAGCTCAAATTCCGCTCCATCAGCTAAGTTTTGGATTATTTGTATTGATCACACACATGGGTCCGTCGATGATTTGGGAATGGGCATGACACAGGACGACCTGTCGTGGAATGGCAAGGCACGGCATGGAATGCCATGGAATGCCATGGAATGCCATGGAATGCCATGGAATGCCATGGAATGCCATGGAATGAAGAGGAAAGAAAGGGAAGGGAAGCTTGGACAGATTGAAAGTTGGACGGAAGAGCATATTATGAATTGTTGGATGGATGCTTGGAGTGATGGACGGGAAAGGATGAGCAGAGGGTCAGGACGAGCCTTCCAGAGGTTAAAGAGCTTGACTTACAGCTTGCTCTTTGCTTTGTGAAGCATCAGTTCTTCGGAGTGAGTCCATCTTTGGGCCGTTCTCTTTGTCAGAGTTCTAAAGAGAACGTCCCCATTCTTTCCAGGGAGCCTTCTTTCCGGAAAACCTCCGGAAACCCAGGGAAAACGACTGTTTGTTGGAAAGAACGATGGTTGAAAAGAATGGGGGAGCCACCCATAGGCTCGATTTCCACATTTGGTAAGGGAGGTACACCAGAAACTCATCAGATACCCTCACAGCACCAATTTCCCGCATGGCTCCACTGAAGGCACTGGCTACGTGGAAGCCGCGGAGAAGAACTTGCAGAGGGCACCTCGGCTGCGTGGAACGGGTCCGATGGACGCACATGAGGCGCGGTCAGAAAATGGGCTCCAAGACCCTTCCAAGACCCTCCTGGCGGTTGAGGAACGTGTTTTTGCATTTTTTCCGAAAAAGGGGGAGGTGTCTCCAAATTAGTTAGGGAAAATCCTTCCTGCTCAATCGTACTCTGCAACCTCATTCTGTTGATTTGGGCCTTGTGCTGCTAAGCACCAGGATTGTGTGCATGCCACGATTAAAACATATGGCTGTTTGAGGCTGCGGACTTTGTTTCAGTGGAGCAAACAAGGATCCCAAGGAATTGTGACCCGCCCATGGAACTTCTCCTAGGTCCCCCCAGTAGTGCTTTTTTACCCATTTTGGGGGAGGGTTCCCTACTAAAATAGACTACAGAAAAAAGGGTACCCTTATTCTAACCTCTCTACTGGAGGACCTAGTCTCCGCAGGTGCATGTGAGTTTTTCCTGGTGGACAAAAATTAAGTCTCGAGCTCACCACTCGAAGACGTTTGCACACGTTTGCCTGTGCAAAGGTGTCCTTTTTAGGTTGGTTTGATGAAAGAGTAGATGGGTTCCACTGGTTTAGAGGGTTTCTTCCCATTTACCAGGGCCATCTATTTTTCCCAAGGGCCAACTATGTTTGCCTGACTTTCCGGCGTTGGTGAGCAAAGGTCTCTCGACGTTCCTGGCTTAGACGATGTTCAAGATCATCGGTCGGCCGGTGTTGAGGTCGCTGGCTTCAGGAGAAGCACTGTTGAACAAGAGCCCACCCAGACAGAAACCAACCATTTAGAAGATTTTCCTAGGTTGAAATGCAGTGATGATCTCAAAGGACTGGTTTCTTTTGTGGCTAGCTTGCATGTCAGACAGCACTAGTAATGATTTAGTCCCTTCTTTTATCTTCAGAGTCTGCGGGCTAATTGCGGTCTTGAAACGACTTGCGGAGAATACAGCGTCTTGCAGCCAGCGTCTTCCAAGTCGAAGCTTTCGTCCCTCCTCCCTCGCCATGGCCCCGGCGCTCACGTGGCAGACGAAAAACGGCCTGCTGGCCTTCACGGCGCCCTGGGCCGCGGAGGCCTCCGGCGGCGTGGCGCTGCGGCCGGGGGGGCGCGGGGCCGACGCAGTCCTCGGCGAGGTGGACGGCGGCGGGCGGTCGGTGCAGAACGTGTCGCAGCTCGTCTTCGGCGCGGATGGCGGCTGCGTGGTGGAAGAGTTTTCCTCCGGGTGCTGCTACGTCGAGGTGGGCCGGTTCCCCGGAGGCGGTGTGCGGTGGTGCTGGGCGAAGGGCCCGGGAGGGCAGTGGAAGGTCTGGGCCGAGGCGGACACCGGGGAGAAGATATTGCTGAACCAGACCTTCAAGCAGAGAGCGCCGCAGCTCAGGCTGTATTCGTACAAGAATGGGCAGAGTCTGGAGATCTCACTGCTGCCGCTTCAACCAGGGCCTGGGAGTGTTCCTCCGCAAGCGCAAGCCGAGCTCAGGGCGCAAGTGGGCCAGCTGAAGTCAGAGGTGCAGAGTGAAAGGGCGCAGAAGGCAGAGCTCCAGCAGCGGCTTGCAGAGATCACCCAGAGATCATCCAGAGTCAGCACAGCAACAGGAAGCCTTGTGCCAAGAAAAGCAGCAGCTGCAGCAGCAGCTGGAGCAGCTTACGGAGGAGAAGGCTGGGGCAACCCAGCAACAGGCAGCATTACAGGAAGCCTTGCACCAGGAAAAGCAGCAGTTGCAGCAGCAGCTGGAGCAGCTTACACAGGAGAAGGCTGAGGCAACACAGCAACAGGCAGCACAACAGGAGGAGTTGCAGCAGCAGCTGGAGCAGCTTACACAGGAGAAGGCTAAGGCAACACAGCAACAGGAAGCCTTGCGCCAGGAAAAGCAGGAATTGCGGCAGCAGCTGGAGCAGCTTGCGCAGGAGAAGGCTGCGGCAACACAGCAGCAGGAAGCCTTGCACCAAGACAAGCAGGAATTGCGGCAGCAGCTGGAGCAGTCCAGGCACGACTTTGCCTTGCTTTCGCAGCAGCAGCTTGAACAGTCCAGGCACGACTTCGCATTGCTCAGGCAGGAGAAGGCTGAGGCGATCCAGCAAGCGAAGTGCTGCGGCAGGAGAAGCAGCACTTGCAGCAGCAGCTTGAGCAGCTCCGGAATGACTTCATGTTGGCTTCAAAGCAGACGCTGACTGAGCGGAAGTTGGTTGAAGTCGCACGACAGCTTTCCCAGTTGAAGGAGCACTGTGATGCTGTCGTGGCACCCCAGCTAGAATAATGAAAATGCCTTCTGTCTCTCCATAACCTGCCCCATGTTTCCTGGCATGTTGCCTAACGACTGATTGTTTGAAAGTTTGGTACTGAGCTGCATTGTTGTTCTAAAGCTGTGCCATTCTGCAAGCACATGAACTAGACAGTGTCAGGCATTCATCAGCTCCGACAGCGACCCGCAGCCAGAAGGAGCAGGCGTGGGCTTCAAACTCACGCGGTGTTTGCCGCACCGCGGCCTCTACAAGAGTTCATGAAAGGGTCTGCAGGGGGGGGGGAAGGGACCGATTGCACAGGCGACTCCCCGGCCAGCAGAAGCTGGGCCGTGATCGACCAAGAGGACGTGCAGTCCGTGCAGTCGGCGCAGTCGAGCGACATGAGCAGCGCGTCCGGGTCCGCCAGGTCTGCCAAGTGCTTCCTCCCGAACACGGCTCTGGCCGGGGCGGGCGGGGCCGAGGGCCACCTGCTGCCGGTGGAGCACCTGAAGCCGGGGGACAAGGTCCGGCTGAGCGACGGCACCGATGCCTCGGTGCTGGACGTAAAGCGGCACCCCTCCAAGAAGAAGCCCTACGACGTCGTGGAGCTCAGCACGCACCAGGGCAAGTTCCCGGTGTCCGACTCCCATCACGTGGCAGTGCCTGGAGTCACAGGACTGCCACGGGAGTGATGTTGAGCTTGCGTGCTTCTGTTTGTTTGCTGGCCAGGAGATTCCGGAAACATTTGGTTTAGTATCAACAGCTGCAACTTCCCCTCGTGACCGATTTTGATCAGCACTTCCATTATGTTGCAGCGGCTGGCGTTGCCGTTCGCGAGGTAGTGGGCCAGTGCTGAGGTAGGCTTTGCTATATTGAGGGGAGAACGGGCAGCCCGTAGCTCAAGACTGGTCAGCCCATGTTGGCGGTGTGGTATCCCGGCCACCCTGGCCAGGCCCCCGTCGTCAGCAAGCAGATGCCTTGCGGCAAGGGGATGTGGTGATCGTCAGCGGCGAACAGCGGAAGCTGACCAATGTGGTCCCCAGGAAGGAGCGGACTTTTGGGGGACACTCCATGTGTTTTGTGTGGGTGCGGGGGGAGGGGGGGGGTGTTTCCAAACACATGTGGGCTGATAATGAAGGGAAGAGAACGGGGGAGGAGCGCGCAAATCTCTTTGAAGTCTTTCTGGAGCCGGACGGCCCGCTGGAGATGTTCCACTTGAAGCAGAGCTGGAGTTTGCAGGTCTTCGGCTCAGCCAGTGGATCCGGGTGTCTTCCCGAAGAGGAGGGAGAGGAGTGCTGCTGACGGGGAGCCCAAGTTAGAGGCTGTGTGAAGAGCAGCCTTCGGCGAAGGGCAGGAGATCTGAAGGAATGTAGAGATTCATGGCAAGGCAGAAGTTCTGTGACCCTTTGCCGAGGCCTGTTGCAGATGCATGGCCACAGGAGTGACGGTTCCCGTTGCAGCCGAGCTGTTCGGGTTTTCATGGTTTTCCCTGGCCAGCTGGGTTTTTGAAAGCTGCCGAAGTGTGGCGCAGTCCTTCGCGACGCCAGAAAGATGCTCCCAAAGTGGTTGGGTGGACGTGAATCCCGACTTAAATGACGTCGATGCCAAAGGGTCCTTTTGGACAAAGAAACAAGCATGATGTTTCATACCCGTATCCCCCCAGACAGCCCAGACAATTAATTGGCTCTGTGCAGCTGAGGCCATTCAACACAGCAATTCCTACCGCTTCTATGTGGTGTGCTGGTTTCTGGGGCTTGGGCGCCCGGAGAGCGATGGAGATCTTCGCGGACTTGAGACTTCAGTGCCGTTTGTTTTTCGACAGATGGTGGCAGAGTGTGGGAGTTGCAGGTTTGCTGAACAGTCTTCCTCTACATGCTTGGCAGGTGTCCCGTTTTTTTCTCGCAAGAATGGTTAGTAGCCCTATGAGGTGTTTGGCACCACTCTACAAGATTCTTGGAGCGGGTGTGCGGAGCGGTTTTGGCACGTTCCCACATGAAGAGTTCTCAGGGAGGCGGTTCAATATGTGGCCAGACAACCGAAATGGACGCGCGCTGTGCATGCTGCAGGGGTTGGGGGGAATCGTGTATAAGAGTTGTGTGTGTTTGTGACTTGGGGCAACAGAGCTTGGCGCTTGCAAGCGGCATCAAAAACTCTGGGGAGTGATGCACTCAACTTGTTGTTTCATGCATGTAGCCACGACATGTTCAAGGCTTCTGGAAGCAAAAGGTCTCCTGGGACAAACCCTTTCCGCTGTGAATACAACGACTCTGTGAGCATGGTGCACTTTGCCAAACCCAAAACCCTAAACCCTAAACCCCAAACCCAGTAGATGGATATCGAGGTCCGCGATGTTCCTCCTGGTCGTCGACTACATCGACGCGCGCTGGTCTCCGATCTGACGCACCGAGCCAAACCCTGGCAAAGTTGGACTGCCAGACAGAGTTTGTTAACGCACTGCCTGATGGCAAAGGACAATTGAAACCATATCAATTAAAATAATGTAGTTTATTTACATATATACAGATATATATATAGATATGTTTCGTAGCTTTAGGTTGGCCTTAATGAAAATATGATTTGTGTTTATTATAATATTATATTATATTGTTTAAATATATTATTTTTGAAATTCGAAAATTATATTATAATAATTAAATAGATATTTATATAAATATATAGGATGATATATGTATAATTGTAGTTATATATTATTTATTGAAATAATTAATATATATAATTTGAGAATATTAGATAACAATAATAATATATATATATATATATATTTGGAAATTAATATATATTTATATATTTAATATATTAACAATGTTTTAATATATTAGATTTTATTTATTAAATATATATTTACTCTATAAAACGAAACCGTGAAACTTGCTCGTCGCACTTGCTCGCGTTTTCCCGGACAGCTTTTCCGAAAAATCCCGGATATGTCGGAAAATTGGTCTGGACTGCCCCTGGAAGATGTAACCGCTTCATATTTCCTACGGACCGCTTGCCCAAATCTGTCCGGGCTACCCCGGCATATGTGCGGAAGACATAGTGGCTTCATTTTTGGTAGGGACCAATTTCCCGAAATATTCCAGATATTTCGGGAAAGCGGTCCGGGAATCGTAGCCACCCACCATTTTCTTAAAATATTCCGAATATTTCGGGGACCATTTTCCCGAAATATTCCAAATATTTCGGGAAATGCTATCGTCGAAATATCCGGAATATTTCGGAAAAATGGTCTGGAGCGCGACTATCGAAATATCCGGGATATTTCGGAAAAATGGTCCGGGCTTTGAACGAAGTCGTTGTGTCTTCTAGATCAAGAGTCTAGGCATATATCTCCCCATCCGTAGCCGTTGAGCGAAGCCGTTGTGTCTTCCAGATAAAGAGTCGGGGCATATATCTGCCTGTCCGTAGCAATTTTGGCTGAAATCTTGGCCCATCTTCCGAGAGTTTGGCGATGCGAGAAGCTGTGAGCCGCGGCCGATTGTTGCGACCAGTGGTGTTTTCCCCTATGCTTTGGGCGAAATCAGTTCGGCTTTGCTTGCACCCAGGATGTTTTCTGGTCGATCGCGTTTTCGCTTGCGCTTGCAACAACTGCGTGTGTGGATGGATCTTTTGAGGCCAACAGCCCGCGGATCCGTTCTCACCTTGCTCAGGCGACCGCCTTTCACTGACTCTTTGGCGTGACCTTATCGCGACCAGCCCGGCCCTCAGTGCGTCTCGCAACCTGTGTTTGGAGAACGGCAGCATGCTTTTCGCATGCGACGAGTATACATTTTTTGATACGTATGAGATGATAAACTATGTTGGTGCCTGAGTTGTAAAACATGGCTTGCCGGCGCGGGCTCTGTAAGATCTGGACCTTGGCCCCTGAGAGCTTGGCCCTTTTTTGGCACCCGCATCAACGTACCCCTAATTGCTGGTTTGGATTGGTGGTTTGGGGGTTTGAACCCCTGGATCATGTTGAAGTTGAATGGGAAACCACCCCCTAACCTCCAAAACACCGATCCAAACTACCAATCCAAACCGGGCTGGTAGCGTGCCCAGTCCTGCAACCACCTCCTGGCCGCGGGAGCAGCGGGGCAGCGCCGAGACAAGCGCAAACCGTTTCCCACTGGCTCGCTCCACTGGGCGAGGGCGCCAGGGGACAAGCGGCCAGCGGCCGCGTGCAACTGGGGCACGCGCAGCCGAGAGCTCGCACGCGCGTTCTTGCAGCCCGTCTGCATCACGGCTCCCGGGCTCGGAGTCGGACGTGTGCGCAGGTGAAGCCTGTGGCATGTTGACATCAGAATCCGGCGCGCTGCGCGCCGGAGGTGTGTCTCTTTTTGTCTCTGTCTCTCTGTCAGTGTCTTTCTCTGTCTCTCTTTGTCTGTTGGTCTCTCTGTCTCTGGTATCTGTTTCTTTGTCTGTCTGTCTGTCTGGCTGTCTGTCTGTGTCTGTCTGTCTGTGTCTGTCTGTCTTTGTCTGTCTGTGTCTCTGTGTCTCTGTGTCTCTGTGTCTTTGTGTCTCTGTGTCTGTCTGATTGTGTCTGTCTGTTTGTGTTTGTGTTTGTGTGTCTGTGTGTCTGTGTGTCTGTGTGTCTGTGTGTCCGTGTGTCTGTGTGTCTGTTCACGCGCAGCCGAGAGCTCGCACGCGCGTTCTTGCAGCCCGTCTGCATCACAGCTCCCGGGCTCGGAGTCGGACGCGTGCACGTGCGCAGGTGAAGCCTGTTGCATGTTGACATCAGAATCCGGCGCGCTGCGCGCCGGAGGTGTGTCTCTTTTTGTCTCTGTCTCTCTGTCGGTGTCTTTCTCTGTCTCTCTTTGTCTGTTGGTCTCTCTGTCTCTGGTATCTGTTTCTTTGTCTGTCTGTCTGGCTGTCTGTCTGTGTCTGTCTGTCTGTGTCTGTCTGTCTGTGTCTGTCTGTGTCTGTCTGTGTCTGTCTGTGTCTGTCTGTGTCTGTCTGTGTCTGTCTGTGTCTGTGTCTGTCTGTGTCTCTGTCTGTCTGTGTCTCTGTGTCTCTGTGTCTCTGTGTCTTTGTGTCTCTGTGTCTCTGTGTCTCTGTGTCTCTGTGTCTCTGTGTCTCTGTGTCTCTGTGTCTCTGTGTCTCTGTGTCTGTCTGATTGTGTCTGTCTGTTTGTGTTTGTGTTTGTGTGTCTGTGTGTCTGTTCTGTGTGTCTGTGTGTGTCTGTGTTTGCGTATTTGTGTCTGTGTTTGTCTTTGTTTTTGTGTTTGTTTTTGTCTTTGTCTTTGTCTTTGTTTGTGTCTTTGTTTTTGTTTGTTTGTTTGTTTGTTTGTGTGTTTGGTTGTTTGTTTTGTTTGTTTTGTTTTGTTTTGTTTTGTTTGTTTTGTTATTTGAAATTGATATTGCAAAGGTTAAAATTTATGAATTAACTGATATTATATAGGTTAATTGTTATGAATTTGTAAAATTTAGGGCACGTGTTTTTTTCCCCCCCATATGTAAAGAATGGATATTGTATTTAGATATATGTAATATTTGAGAGTAAGATTTAATATTTTATATTTTAGAATTATATAGATTGGATTATTTTAAATTTGAATAATTTAGAAATAGATATTATTGATATATATTATTGGGATATGAAGCTCGATTTTTTTTGGTTATTGTTTTGATTTGATTTTTGGATGTCGGTTTGTTTTGAGATTTATGAAGAAATAAATGATGAGATAAATGATTCGAACATATGATTTTTTAGATTGAGAAAAACCGCATGTGCATGATTTGTTATGGAACGAATAGAGTTATGAAATATGTTTTTGGGAGGTTAGAAAAATCGATTATTTTATTAGTATTTGGGCTGAAATATTATGTTTGTTTTGCAAGAATTTGGCGATATTTATTATGATTAATAAAAAAAAATTAAAATAAATTAGTTTGGTTATATTTATATTATTTATGGATTTTTGTTTTCCTTTTTTTTTTTGTTTAGATATTTATTTTTTATTAACTAAATATTTATATATTGGTATTTGGTATTTGAGAGACATTATTATTTTCTATATCGTAATATTTTAGGAAACATATTGAGGTGTTATTGAGACATTCTATTTATAATTTGTCTTTAGATATTTGGGTCTTTAGAATTAGGTTTCTAATTTTAATCTTTCGAAATATTATATTTGGGCAGGATCTAAGGCAAAGGCTCAAAATCACAATTATTTATTTTCTCGAAATATTCCGAAATTGTGTTTTATTAAGTATTTGATCATCTATAATTATTAAATTGGAATGATTTTTTATTTTATGTTCTGATTTTGTTATTCTTTTGCTATGGGTTTTATTTCGTACGCTGCTGGAAAGTAGCGGGCCCCCACTAATATATATATATATTATTATAGATGGATATTTATGGAATCGATATATGATTGAACATACTGATTATGTTTTGAAAGGCATTGGGAGGCGGCATTTGGCCATAGATTTTGGAGGTGTGTTTTAAGGATGATGAATTGGGTGATTTGGTTTTGTTTGTTGTTTTCGATGATTGTTTCTTGTTTTTGATATATGATGGTTTTTATGATTGTTTGCTTTAGTTGTGTTTGGTAGAGTTGTTATTTTTTGAATTACGAGGATGATTCTCGATTGTTTTTGTGTGTTTGGTTTGGGCTTCGTTTTCGGAACGGGTGATATAATCTCCGTGCTTAAAGTGGCGTTGGATTATGGGTGGACGAGATTTTATCTCTCGATTTTATTTTGTTATTAATCTTTTCGAATATCTCGAATTGAAAATTTGCATTGAATTACCTATTATATTAATCCTTTTACAGAAAAATATATAATTTAGAAATTTAAAAATATATAAATATTAAAATAATAAATATTAATATATAAATAATATAAATTCTATAAAAATATAAATTAATTTCGAATATTTATAACTATATTAATATAAGAATGAAGCCAATTTAGAACCCAATGTACATTTAAAATATAGGGAATTATTATTTGATGTGTGAAAGGTATTGGGAGGTGGCATTGTACATTTTGATGATTTTGGAGATATACGCCAAGGAATATGGATTGGTTATCTTGGTCTTGTTTATTTATTATTCTTGGTAATTGTTTCGATCGCTTCTGATAAATCGCGATGTGTTTTACAATTGTTTTATTTAATTTATTTTTGATAGAGTTATTATTCCTTGAGCTACGAGGAATTTGTATATTTTGAATCGAGATTCTCGGTCTTTTTGCTGTGTTTGGTTTAGACCTCGTTTTCGGAGCGGGGTAATATAATCTCCATGTCTAAAATAATATTAAATTATGGATAGATGAGATTCTATTTCCATTCTGATTTATTATGAATATCCTCGAATATCTCGATTTAAAGATATGGGTTAAATTGTTAATTATATCCTAAATTGTCGAACTAAGAATTATTTATCTATTTAGATTGATATATTTTCCCAACGAATATAATAAAATTAGTAATAAATAAATCTTATTTGAAAAATACCTTATATAAATAATAATTTAATTGTTATATATAATTATAATTCTATTAATATAAAAATAAATAAAATTAATACTATAATAATTATATTAATTAAATTATATAAATATATTAACTCAAATTATATAAATTTATAATAATTCATCAATAATTATTTATAAAAAAAAATATAAAAATTATAATTCTCTTTCTTTTTCTTTTCTTAATTCTTCTTTCTTCTTCTGCCTTTTCATTATTTCTTTTTTCTCCGTCATTCTTCCTTTCTTCCTTTCTTTCCTTTCTTCCTCCCTTCTTTCTATCTGTCTTTTCTTTCTTTCTTTCGTTTGCTTGCTTTTGTGTTGTTCTTTCTTTTGTCTCTTCTCTATCTATGTATCTATTTATCTATCTATCTATCTATCTTTCTATCTATCTATCTCTTGATTAATCTATCTATCTATCTACCTGTCTCTCTCTCTCTATCTGTCTATCTTTTTATCTCTATCTATCTATCCCTCTATCTATTTATGTATCTATCTATCTATCTAATTTATTTCTCTATCCAACTACCTATCTATCTATCTATATCTCTGTCTCTCTTTCTATCTATTTATCTATGTATTTCTCTATCTATTTATCTATCTAGTTGTCTATCTATCTTCTGTTGGTTTATCTATCTAACTATTTATCTCTCCATCTCTCTCTCTATCTCTCTTTCTTTCTATCTCTCTATCTCTTTCTTTCTATTTGTTTATCTCTCTATCTCTTTCTCTATCTCTTTCTTTCTATCTATCTATCCATCCATCTATTTCCCACGTGTCTATTTATCTATCTGTCTATTTCTCCATCTGTTTCCCGCATGTCTATCTAGCTATCTATCTTTCTATTTGTCTATCTCTCTATCTCTATCTATATATCTCTATATCTCTCTATATATCCCTCTGTCTGTCTATCAATCTATCTGTCTATCCATCTATATCTGCATCTAAAAATTGCGATTTTCAAGCCTTAGCTACGAAAATATACTTCATGTATTACTTTCGTACTGAAAAGTTGCGATTTTCGAGTCCCCAACTGCGATAGTGGACTTCGCGTACTACTTTCGTACTTAAAAGTTGCGATGTTCGAGCCCCGGCTGCGAAAGTTGACCTTGCAAAAGTGCTGCGCCTGCCACAAAATCTATACTTGGCTTTGCGAAAGTGCTGCGCCTGCCACGAAATCTGTACTTGACCTTGCGAAAGTGATGCACCTGCCACGAATTTTGCACTTGACCTTGCGAAAGTGCTGCACCTACCACGAATTCTGCATTTGACCTTGCGAAAGTACTGCGCCTGCCACGAAATCTGCGCTTAACCTTGCGAAAGTGCTACGCCTACCACGAAATCTTTACTTGACCTTGCGAAAGCCTATCACGAAATCTATACTTAACCTTGCGAAAATGCTACGCCTGCCACGAAATCTTTGCTTAACCTTGCGAAAGTAAGATGCCTACCACGAAATCTATATTTGACCTTGCGAAAGTATTACGTCTACCACGAAATCTGTACTTAATTTTCAAAAGTGCTACGCCTACCACGCCATTCAAACCTTGCGAAAATTTGACCTTACAAAAGTATTATGCCTACCACGAAATCTAAACCTAACCTTATGAAAGTGCTATGCCTACCACACAATTCAATCCTAGCGAAACCTTTGCGTTACCGTGCCAATAAATCCGCGCTCTAAACGCGCTCCGAGAATAATCCAAGAGTGGTCCGACAAACGCCGCGAACAAGCTAACTTTCGGCTCTCCAAAAACATCAATTCACGCACGGTGCCACGCTTTTTGCCTTTTTCCCACCGCACACGCACGTATATTTTCTCGTGTGTTTATTCCTTCTCTTCATCTATCTCAAAAAGAGCTAGCTTTCAATAGTTATCGTAACACGGATATTCCTTCTAAATGTCCTTTAACAAATAATTTCATAATCATATAATAATTATCTAAACCTAAAAACATATTCACTAAAAGAATCCCTTTTCTTATTACTCGAAAAAATACCATTCCAACAATCTAATCCCATTTTCACACCTAAAATTATTATACAAACCAAAAACAATTACTACCAAACAATCAAAACAAAAAATAAATTTAATAAATAAAATTTATACAACACTTACGACAAATAATTCATATATACAACTTACACAAAACCTTCCAATCATTTATAAATCTCATAAAAATATTTATAACTACAAACATAATTTCCAATTTCATATAAATTAATCTATAGATTTCTTTTCACCACTCAAATAATTTTTGGGTAATCCAAAATATTCCTAAATCATATAAATTCCTTTTCAATATATATATATATATTAATAAACATATTACGTAAATTTATATTAATATCATTATAATTATATAATAAAACATATAAATAACATAAATTAAAATAAATTACCTCTCAAATACATTTAAACATAAATAAACATAATATATACAAATATATATATAATATGAAAAAAAAAGAAACACACATATAACCTTAAAACATATAAATAACTAAACAAATCAAATCAAGATAAATAACAAAATATTGTATTTTGTTTGTTTGATTCTTGCTTTATATTCTCGAGTTTGTCTATTAACACCATCTTACGAAATGTATACACAACCGCTCTCTTGGCGTGTCCAATTTTGCATATCTATATATATATATATGCATATTACTTGGTATGCTCCATCAACCACATTGTTCAATAACATTGTGCAATCGCCGATTGTTGATCCATATTAAACGAATCGGGTATCACAATATCAAGTTTCCGGGCCAATGACACATTCCATACCTTATTATAAAGTTGTCAACACATGCTGGGTGTCAAGCAACACAGCCATGCGTGCAGGTTATGGGAGTACGCAACCTGTCATGTGGAGGCATGCGCTGTTTCCCGCCATTGAGGCTCGATGCAAACGTCAAGTCGGGCCCCAGTTCCAGGAAACGTCCCAAGCGGATGGCAGGCATCGTATTGATGCCGCGAAACCTGATGCAGGCAGACAAACAAGATGATTTATACAAGACATCCCTCAACAAAACTAAGACATGCGGCTGGCAAGGCGGCTGCAGTATTCCTGGATGAAGCCTGGAATTAAGATCTTATTTTGTTCCTTCCACTGACGGGATGTCGTGCAGCCCTGGGCACTAACTTTGCACGCGCAAAGTAGCGTGGCTAATCCATCCTCAGTGCCGCAGCATCCCTGGCAGCGCGGACCTCCGCCAGCTGAGCTAACTTTTGTTCGAGGGCACTCAATTCTTGGAGGGAACCAAAGGGGGGTCCAAGCAGAGACACACCCTTATGTTCAGGGCGACTGGTGGATTGAAACCCGGCATGAAGATCCTGAAGTCAGTGATCGAATCCATCAGGATTTCGGTGGGCAAGTCAGTTCGTTGTGATGCGACTTCCCAATTCGAAGTGTGGGACCATTCCAAAGCGCTCCCAGTTTTTGCCTCAATTCGAGGGCATCCAAAAGGCCGCCCACAAGCCAAAGGCTCTTAGAACCTCAGAAGGGTAGAAAACCATTTTGGTGGGTCAGGGGACCCGATGAGCAGCTCGAGTTTCAGCACGTTGATTATGCTCCAAGGTTGATGACACCATGAGCAAACATAGCCAAGGGTGCAAGAGCTCAAAGCACATACGCTGCTAGCAACATGCTCTTATGCCCAGACGGACATCCCGCGGCACCACTCAACAAGTGCATATTCCCCTTTGTCAATTCGCTCAGGCGCATGCCAATGCGGCGAGCTGTTGGCTCAAGAGCAGGGGCCACAAAGACGTTTCTTCGGGGCCTGGAGCCTAGGCGTTTACTTGTAAACACAGATGGCACTGAATGATTGGAACTAACCTGAAGCCGTCTGGTTTCTTCCAACTGAGATTTGGTAGAAAACACAAAGGGCGGCGCTGAGACTCGTGCTTCGCCAAACCCGTGAAACCGTTGCCGTGAGAAGTGGCTTCGTTTCAAAGCCAAGTAGGTCAAAGGGCAGGCAGGGTCCAAAAGGCCCAAGGGTCCTATATGATCTTTGTGCTTAGGGCCCAACCCGGGAATACCTTATTTCTTAAATGCGCGCAAAACACACAATTGGCGCCTCAAAGAAAAATGCGACCACCGCACAGGCACGGAAAGGCAACTGGCGCGGTTTTGCCTTTTGCAAGAATATCAACGACTTATAAGCCTCATGAACCCAAGTAGAACCGTAAAATGTCCATAGGGATGCACCACTCATAATTAACCCAAGGTTTGCTGACAAAGAAATCAAAAGGAAACCCAAAGGTTTTGGGGCGCCGATCGATCCGTACGGATCCCTCACCTTGTGCGCCAGCAGTGAGGCGCAATCCTCAGGCGCCAAATACCTGCGGGTTCGCGCCGCCGGAATCCGGTCACATCGGCTGCCAGTGGAATCACATCTTTCGGTTGGTTCACCAAGGTTGAAAAGAACAATTAATTTTGAGGGTGCCACTGGGAAACCGCCACAGCTGGAACATGCTCTCAGGGACATGCCCGTCTGACTTGATCTTTCCTTCCTTCCTTCCTTCCTTCCTTCCTTCCTTCCTTCCTTCCTTCCTTCCTTCCTTCCTTCCTTTGCAGGGATACATTTGAAGCCACTGTGAAGCGGAGGCGGCACAGCTTTGGCCATTGTGCCGGAAAAAAAAAAACACGTTCCCTCTTTAGATTTCTTTCTAATTTGAAATAAAAACAGCGACGTGCAAGGGTTGGGTTTTCCTGGATCTGCTGGGTTTGCTTCCTGCACATCTGCCAATTTGACGGTGGCCACCTTGAAAGGTACACTTTTGGTGCCCTCTTCATCTCCTTTTGAGACTTGAGAACCCCTCTTTAGGCTCCTTTCGTGCCTGTGTTTGCATAGGCTTTTGACACGTCTTGTTTTCTTGAGGAGGTTCCCTTTGGGTTCCCGACATCATGAGGGACACACGAGATTGGAATTGGCACCATGCCGAGGTGAAGGCATCCTCCGTGGCTGAAACAATTCATGCTGCGGCCAAGCCGATCCATGGTCTTTGTAACTTGCGGATGTTTTTGAAGGTTTCATGATGGTTCGTGATTTGCCCTGTCAAGTGAGCCAAACAAAAGAACCAACACCAGCGATTCGAAGCTGGACAGGTTGAGATCACGCACGCTGTCAGGGTGTGATTGCAGATTATACTCTTGTGCACGTGAGATCGAAGTGGTCCCAGGTGGGGTTCTGCTCCTGAAGCTGCTTCCTCAGCATCTGGGCAACCCTTGTGGGGAGCTTGGCTTGCTGGAACGGCAAGATTATCACCGAACCGCTACTGGCCAAGCACATTCCAGGTGGTTTGTGTCTTCTCTTTCAAGCCTAGGCAGCTCCATTAATGGTTAACTCATCTCCAGAAAAACCAAACGGAGGTTGCCTAAGCTTGGGTGATCAGTTCAATGGGTTCGAGCAAATGGGTTCCTTTCGCATGCTGCATGATTGTCTCGTGGAAACAGGTCGCCCTGACATGCCCTGACTGGTACACATGTCGGTATCCGTCAGAAAAGTGCCCCAAAAACTGTTGGTTTCCTGTTGGTTTCCCTTTGAACCAAGGCCAAAAAGGGCTAAAACGCCATGCAGCCGGCGTTGGTGTCGTTTTGAACCGGTCCCCCTTAATGGCAGCTTGGCTGTCTTTGGCCCCGGCATCAACTCCAGGTCGCTTCCTTGGCGTGGCTCGGTGGCGCAACCAACGTGGGATGAGGGGCTCAAGGGGCTGGGGTATGCTGAACCCTTCTTCGAGATCTTGTGGCGGTACTAGAAGAATCCAAGGTTGTGATGAGAAAAGAAGCAGAAATGGTGTCCAATTTTTTGCCCCCCTGCTATGCGAGAGAGAATCTCGTTCTTTCTCCCGCTCTTTGCACATTCATGGAGCCAACCTGTACACCCAACGCCGAAAACCGCCAACCATAATCCCAGGCGTACGACAGGAACAGCCCGGAGCTTGCTGAATCTGGCACACCGGGAGCGTACAGGGCATAGCCCTTTTGTGTCCTACGTAGGAAAGCTATCCAATCGGTGGATATCTACATACTATCCACTACCCAAGCATCACGGACAAGTGCGTACCTGCTAGTTTTACAATTCAGTACAACCGTCTATCTACATGCATTCCCTTGTCTTATTCATGAGTATGCCAAACTCAACATCATACATTTGACCGCCGCCCTACAGGCTTTGACGGCTCCTTCCCATTCCCCGGTTCGCGCGCTCTCGCTTTGAGCCAGGTACGCACACGGGAAGGTGTTGCAAAGTCGTCTTCGAAAAGCATGGGCCTGAGTCAGCAGTCAAAGTTTTAGGGCGGCCATGGAGGAGTTTTTCTAAATGGGAGTCAGACTCCGTTTTGGTTGGCATTTAAAGGAAAACAATACGGAGACCCCTGCCATTTTCGGGGAGCGATTCCTTTTTTGAGAAACATCCATGGCGGTCAAGGGTTGGTCTTGAAAGGACACGGAGGAGTCTTTCAGCCAGATCAGGGTAAGGACATGTTAGCTGAAATTCAGGGTCACCTTGGGGCGCATGTTGAACCTTGGACTTTTACCATGGGGATTGACTTGCACCATGTCTTGCGGGTGTTCCATGTTAAGATAGCTGGTAATGACAGGTGAGCTCTCTCCTGGCTCCCTGCTAGGAAACCGCACCGCTGCTTGCACAATGCCAAATACACCTTGCTTGCTGTCGCGAAAGCTGGAACACCTTCAAGCACCGTGCTGACTAGCCCACGCCCATATGCCCGGGGCTTTGCATCAACCTCCCATGTCCAAGATCCTGGGGCCTTGAGTCGATGCCCCGAGTTCCAAGGTCCTTAGAGACTGGTCCAGGGGATTGCCTCCATTGGCAAAGCACTTCTAGGGACGTCGGGTGAGCCTGCGAGAAAAGCAACAGTGCCACGACATATCGAACAAAAGAAGAGGCAACGTTCCGCGCCCAGGTGATCGTCAGGCCGACCAGTGGCTTCTTGCAGATCTTCAGCTCTTTCAGCTTGCTCTGACCTGAGTGCCAAAACGCGAGCGAAGCGGAGCAAAGCAAGGCAAGCAAAGCCAGCAAAGCGGCGAAGACAGCAGGAGTTCCTCAATCTACCATCACATCGGGGATGATGACATCTAATCATCGGAGAGTGAAACTTTGACAACCACCTTTTGTCACTCTGGGTGTCTTTTGTTAGGGCACCCCTTCTGGGCTTAAGGGAAGCCAAACAAAGACCACGATGACGAAGCCGGACGGCTAGTTCCTGCTGTGGATGGGGTTGATGGGCGGAGCCCTGTTTGCTTTTGAAATATCCCACACAGCGCGGTTTCGCCACGGGAGAGCTCAGGGCAAACAAGTCGAAAGGGCATCCTTTGCCGCATAGGTGTTGATGCGTTCGTAAGGCTTACGCGGCGAGGATCCGCAAGGCAAATTCCCAGCGGCAAAGCCACAATCAGTCTGCCCAAATGTGAAGGATCACAAGGGCGGATATCCGAACCGATTTCTGCTCCGTCCTCTAAGCTTCACTTCCCGCGAAGTTCATGTGGCTCACCTGCGCCAAGCGCTGGGCGTACGCGCAAAAGGCGCTGCTCCTCCATGGTGAGAAGCGCCACCTCACAAGAGGGGAAAATGCATGAGGAGATGGTCCGTTACATTCCCTCGTTCTCTACAATGAGGTCTTGATAGGACCGTTGTTCCCTTTAAAGCGGCCGTAAATTCGGATTCCATGGATGAGTCATGATGTCCCCATTGTTGCATGATTCTTCCGGGGGCCCTTCAGATTATATGCTGGATGAGTCATAACGATTGCCCCTATGCTGGATGAGTCATAACGATTGCCCCAAGCAGTGAGACAAAATCACCTACACAAAGGCAACCGTCTTTGGTGAGGTGGTAAATCGGGACCCGTGGTAGGTAAGGTTGCCATAGTTTGCCCAGGATCTTCACACATTGCAAAACAAACAATCAGACACAACAGTCAATTCAAAAGCCCAGGAGAAGCGGTGCGGCCACTTTTCGAGAATGTTTTAGTGTGTCAAAATCAGAACATGGATTCCAAAGGCCTTTGCCGCCCGGAAAAGACTCGCATGTCTCTGAGGAAGTACTGTCACTTCTGAGTGCTTGACTCATTAACGCGATGTTTTTAATGTGTCTTGCTACAAATCGTGAAACTGCTGTGATTCTGCCCTAAGCTTTGGTATTCACAACAGGGCGAAGAGGGTGGGATTGAGCGGTCTAAATCCCCCGTTTCTTGTTTCTCAAGCTCAGAAACGCATTGCTACATTCAACGGACACCCCGAGAAAACGAATCAGTCCCAACTCTGCGAACGGTGCCCTTCCTAAATGTGCAGAAAACCGTCCTTTTCTCTACCCTTAGGGAGTGTGTGTGTGTGTGTGCGTGTGCGTGTGCGTGTGTGTTGTGTGTGTGTGTGTGTGTGTTGTGAGGACAGTTCTATGTCCATGGCGATCTGCGAATTACATAATGTTTGGCTAGGTATCGGTGATCTTCGGAACTCCCATATCACAAACAGTAAATAAAACACAACAACTCCTGCGGCAAAACACAGATGGGTTGACACATCTTTGTGTGTGTGTGTTTTTGTGCGTGCTCGTTTTGGCCTGTGTTTCATGGCATACCATTGCTTTTGCCCTGAAGCAACATCTAGTCAATGTGCCTAACCCCTCTTGCAGATTATGGTTGACCTGACCGCAGGAATGTACACAAGTCGAACAAAAAACATGTCTCAAACTGCAATTCTTGTTTGCTAGCTAATTACTCAAATTGGAACCAAATGAAGACTATCAATTCGAGAAACACCCGCTGTCCCAAAGATAGACATTGTGTGCCTGAAGAGAGAGAAAACAAGAGATACCCAGTACCAACTTTCTACCCTTGCGCTTTACTCATTTTGAGGCTGGGAACCCTGCAACTCAAGTCCGCTGCTTTTCAGCGCTCGGCCTGCTGCGGCTTCAAGCCAGAGATCTCCGCGGGAAGCCTCTCGTAAGAAGACACCCGGCAGCCGGCGGCCTGTGCGGAGGGCGGAAAGATCACACTCTGGGCGTCCCAAGTACCTTCCAAGGAGGTACTTTACCCCCGTTTAACCACCCAAAACACTAGCCTCGAAGCAGAATGACTTGGACCCCTACAAAAACGCAATCCAAAAAGATAGTCATCCGCATTTGACATCTTTCAAAGCCTCTCTGCTTTACAACTCAGCCGCACTCACCTGTTTCGGCCGCAGCGCAACGCGATGAATCGGTAACGCTTCACCGAGGTAGTACGCCTCGGTCTCTGTTGCCGCCAGCCTGGCAAATGCGGAGGCCAAGAGGGCGGCCGCTTTGTGGGGAAATCAACCAGCCGTGTTTTCCATTTGCGGTTTCGCCCCCTGGAAAACATAAACATATTTCCAGTAGTGATTCATTCCCTTTAAAACCAACAGTTGACAATAAGCCATTTTCGTAAGCAAATGGAAGCTTGGGTTTAAGTCGGCCTTGGGGTACTCAAACATGGAACCCCCTGTACATTCTGTCGGTTGATGGAGGAAACACGTACGGAGAAGAGTCCCGTATGAGGGCTATGCCCTGCCCTCGCGCGGGGGTGGGGATGACACGGCGCAAGCAAACAGACAGGCAAACATTTTTTCCATAAGGGCTATAAGTGTCTTCATGGTTTAAACTTTGTTTAATGCAACACGACCGAAACACCCGGGCTAATCGAAGTCAGCTCAGCCAGAACACAAATTACTACATTCGTGTTAACAGGATGTTGAGCAACCTTCCTGGGAAGCATGGTAGTTTCTCAATTCGCAAGCATCAACAATGTCACCTGCAAAATTGGGCCTCTAGTGTTGCCATATGGTCTATTTATTGAGACGTCATGCGCTTTGCTACATTTACAACGCCGGCAGAGTTCCTTTTGGTGCTCCTTTCTTTGCAGGCTACAAAGCTCTTGACAATCAAGTATAAATGGATCCCAACCATAATTTGGCTGGCTTATGAAACTCAAAATCCAAGGTCTGAGGACATGAACATCACACAATTATGTTTGTGTTTAGTGTTTCAAAACAAGCCAGTGCGCCATCCACATGCTGCACCTAAGCCAGGTCTCGCTGTTTGCACATATCGATGTATATATATATATATATTAGTACATCTATATATATATATATATAGTACATCTAGCTAGATGCGCTCATGTGCCGCTTGTGGCAACACAAAGTGTAAACGAGCAAAGCCAAGCTATCACGCGGTGACACATGAGTCACAAGTTACAAAAACTACTAGATATTGTCCCTGTAGCTTGCGTTGGTCTTCCTTGTCCGCTTTACAGCTCCGAGTGGCTGGCCCTAAAAAGGCACCGACACCCAGTCCCTCACCTGGGCAAAGGAGAGGAGGCCAACCTCGGCCGGAGGCTTGCGAAGGATGCAACGGTTTCTTTGGTCAAGTGCAATGGCGCATGACTCCGTGGAAGGTTGAAGGCATTGGCTGGCAAACTGGGCGGGCGCCCACCAGGGTTGAGCTTCGGGCGTTGACTGCGACGAGGCCTACCCAACAAATGCTTCGTGTTTCTCAACCGAAAAGGCGACTTGGCAGCGCTTTGAACGGCCACTGATATCCCTCGACTTGCTCACGCCCAGGAGCCACCCGGCGCCCTCGGCCCGCCGGCCAGACTGCAAGTGCCGCATCAAGCGCCGGGACTGCCACTGCGATGACTCCTGGAGTGCTCATCCCATGGCCAGCTCCCGTTCCCGCCTTCCCGGGAGGCAGAAAAATCCCAATAGGCGCCATACAGACTTGCTGCCAGCCTCAGAAGATCTCAGGATCAGATATGGGAGCCGATGGGACTTGGTGGGACCCGGGTGCTACCATTGCGGAGCAACCACGACAAGCACAGGATATTCAGGGAACTGTCGGCCCGAGCCGAGCTCATCTCAACAAGAAACACGGTAAGCGCCTGAGGTCGCCAAAGAAGCACCGACTTTATTGACTGAAGCCAGCACGTCCTATCCTCTTCCAACACACTCAGCTTACCCCACACCCTTTTGGTGATGTTTGGCTTGACCGGAACGGGTTTGTCTTGAAGTAGGACATGGACCCCCCAAAATGGGCGGTGTCCTTTTTGGCTTCCCTTTACAAGCACCCCACTAAAGGTATCGAGCCTCAACGGACTCAAGCAAGTAGCCTTTGGTAAATTCGCCAGGCTTCCAGCCCGTGCCTTTAACACAAATGGCAGGGGCAAACAGCAACCAAACCAGCCTAAGGCTTCAGCAAACCACCCTATCCTTTTGGAAAAACAGACGGCACGGGTAAAACCAGCATCTGTTGCGAACCAAGCTGACCTAAGGACAACACCGAGGCCTGCCATGTCCACTGTTGCACACGCCCTGCGCTTCATTCAAACCCCAAATACACCACCTATACCTTTTCACAAACTGGAGAGCCCGCTCCCAAGCACCACGCCAGGATGCAAATAGTGGCACAACTCCCGGTAGCTGCGTTCAAGGACGTGACTAAACTAAATTGGGTTCGAAGTACGGCATCTACTCTCACCCAACATTATGGGCATTTGTCAGAATGGAGGGTGCTGCAAAATGGTGGTTGCTCTTAGAGTTCCTTTTGCACCAACCCAAAAAGGCTTCCTTTTTTTTCAAAAACGCCCCAAAAAACCTACGCTCAAGCTCAAGCTCCCCCCCTTTTCTTCGGGCCCCGACGCTCGGCCCCCGCCGCCGCCCGAAGCCATCCTCCAGACTGCGCACCTCCGGGCCCAGAGAATTCACAGCCTCCCAGCCATCCTGGGCGAAGCGAGCGCGCAGCCCGGAGGAGCCGAAGGGAAGACATGAGCGCCCGAAACCCGGGGACCTTTGGTTCTACTGACCTGTTTTTTTTTTTTTTTTTTTCTGGGGGGGGGTTGCTTGGGGGGGGGTTGGGGGGGGTTGGGGGGGGGTTGGGGGTTGGGGGGGGGCTGTGTGATGTTTGAAGAGGTGTATTCATATACATACATGATGCATGACAAATAAATTCGCGCTGGCCTCAGATCTGCGAGTTGAACACTTTTGGTGGTCGCAATGGAACCACCAAACCCGAAAAACCTGAGGGGACGGCTGGGAACTGCCAAGAAACGTGGTCATAAAGGTTTACCAGGCCAGGGCCCTATGATAATTCTCTTCATTGATGTTGATGTGACAATGTTCAAGCATCTTTCGAAGCGCCAACCAGTCTGATGATCGTGCACGGACGTGACCAACAAACAAGACAAATTAATGGCACTGCCAATCTCCTTACCTCACTTCGAGTATCGATGCCCAGCGTCTGCTTCGGCAATCTCGCGCAAGGTCACCGCCAGATCTTCCACATTGCTTTGAACCTTGGAGCGCCAGTATCCAAAACCCGCACGCATGCACACGGGACGTGGTCAAAGGCCAATGCCCATGGCGCATCTGAAAGGGACTGCAATCCTCCTGCGCCCTTGTCCAAACAGCTAGTAAATTGTGTGGTTCCGGGGCAAGCCAAAGTGTCGTTTTGCAGTGTCAACCCGAGGATGAACATGCACAAGTCCCGAGCAATATGGCCACGAAGAATGATGACCTGAACATCAACCAACATTGCATTGACGTATCATTCCACAAGGCAGCAACATGTCAAACAAATCCGACAGGTCTCGCACATGTACTAGTACCATGTGCGACACATGCTTTTTCATAATGAATATCTGCTCACTCCAATTCCGGCTTGCCGCCTTGTCACGCAGAGCCACTCATTGATGGGACCTCTGGGTGGCATTCATGGCGGTGTTTTAGCAACGCCAAAACTGCGAACCCAGTTGGAAAGGCTTAAAGTTTCAATAGGAAACTGCCATGACTTGACAAGATCAGAATAAAAGCAAACTACCAAATCGATAAACACATGAATCAAGAAACGGACAAACACATCTACAACTAGTAAACACAACACATCATGACTAAAAGCACAACCGACATACACGTATTTGGAAGGGCCTGCTTTCACACCCCCTTACGCCATGTGGCCAGCAGCGTGCCGCCACTCGCCAGGACGCCTTTGGCCTTTCGCAGCAGCTCTCGGTTCGCCATGAACTCAGCCGAGTGCACGCTGGAGGGCAGCTGACCTCGACGGCTGACAGCTTCGCTGGGTCGAGTGACGAATGAGCCCCATGAACCGTCCAACTGGTGGTTGCCTCTAAGGGGATGCCTGGACTTTGTCGGTTGAAAGAGCTCTTGATGTTCTAAGTCGTGGAGTGGGAAACCAAGCACCCTGGTTGGGTACTGTATGGGGTACCTGCAAGCTTTGTTGGATGATTTCCCCTGGTTGCCTACTATACCAGGTGTAAAATAGGGGGTCTGAACGAACACATACCCGTCCCCTCTTAGAATTCCCTTACTCAAACATTCGTGCTATTTAGCGCCCGGGGCGCATAGGAGCCACCAGAACTGCAGCCGGGCGTCTATTTCCGCTGCTTGGGGCCTCTCCTCAGCGAGATTCAGAGAACATTAGCCCAGGAGGCCATGTCTCACTTCCGATCGAACGGATGGGCCAAACAGGTCCAAACCTTTTTGTTTGCCACTCAAATGGTCCAACTCCCCCCGCAAAAAACAGAAAAGAAAAGAAGAAACAAATAGACAAAGCAGACAAAACACAGTAAAGTCCAGCAACTCAGGGAGTGAGATGGGGGGGGGTTCCTTCTCGTGCGAGTTGTGCCGCTTGAATCCCGAGGTTCACACCAACGACGACGTGTGTGCAGCTCAGCCTCTGTCTTCCATTGCCGCAAAGGGCGTCGGGAAGTTGATCAGGATCCTGAAGGTGTTTTGGCGTCAGAAGGTGGGTGACAAGCGAAACACAGCGAGAAAGAAGTGCATGAATAAGGGGAAACACGGCACTGTCACTGCACACATACACATAAAGTTTGCGTGTGCGGTTGTCCTCTGTCCCGCGTTATTGTCAAGTAAGGCGCTTCTCCAAGTTGCCGTGTAACTGGCTGACTTGCAGCCTTGCCTCTTTGCTGTCCAATGCCAT